GCAGAGATGGTATTGGTAGACACTTAAAAGCCCTGGGTCCCCACTGCCCCATTTTCCCATACCCTCTGTGTACCCCACGGTCCCATCCCAGCCCACCTCCTAGAGATGCTGCCAGGCCTGTCTCCGCTCTTCCCGAAGTATCTCATGGGCTTTATGCTTTCCAGCCCTGCCTTGACTCTCATAGCACTGTGTCAGGTTTCTTCCCCATGTGGAACGCCTTGCTGCAGACAGGCTGCCAGTGGTCCGTGGTCAGCCCAGAGCTGGCCTAGACTGAGCACGAACTTCAGGTGTGGTGGGATCAAGACAAGTCAAATCATTTCTACACGCACCTTGTGCCACCTGATAAGCCAAGGTAAATTAAAGCCTCCTTCTGAGCAGGAACGGCTTCTCAGCCTTCTTTCTGGGAATCAGAAGGACTCTGAATGTAGAAATGAGAAACTTTAAATAGTGTGCTCTTTGCTGCAAATCTCCATCTCAGACTGTTGAAAGGGATCAAGGCAAATCCTATGCAGGGACGGGCGTACATCGGATCTCATACAAGAGGCTTTGAGGCAAAGCTGCAGTAAGCTCTGACCTCAGATGACCCGGACGTGCTCATAGGAGCATGGCTTTATTTCCTTTCAAAACCTGATAACTTAGCTCTTGGAAAAATGGAAATAACTCCCCTTCCTCTTGCTATCACCCCAAATTCTACTTTGGTGCTTCTTGTTTTCTGTTACTAGCTCCATCAGTTCATCCTCTGGCCTGCTCACTCATCCCTCACATGGAAGATTCTCAAGTCATCACCTCTAAGCCCAAGCTTGCTCCCCGCCTACAGCCATGCTTTCAGCAGCATCCAATAGAGGGATGTGAAATACCCAAATCCTCTAGAGATGACTACCTAGAGTAGAGCCATCAAAGTTCAGCGTTCTTGTCTTAGCTGCCATCCTAAGACAGTTCCGACTCGTAGCAACCCTGTGTTCAAACCCTGCCCGGTCCTGTGCCGCCGGCGCAATTGTTCTTATGTCTGAGCCCATCGGTACAGCCACTGTGTCAATCCATCTCAACAAAGATCTTCTATTTGGCTGCCCCACTGCTTTACCGAGCATGATGTCCTTTTCCAGGGACTGGTCTCTCCTGGCAACATGTCCAGAATTTAGTAGCAGCTAATAGGAGTATGAAAATGGCCCAAGACAGGGCAGTGTTTCATTCTGGTGTGCATAGGGTGTCTACGAGTTGGAACCAATTGAGGGGGGAAGAGGGAGTTATTATTTAAAAGCATTGGACTTCTGTAAAGGGTGATGGGAAATTCTGCTCATGGTAGTGATGATGGCACAGCAAATGTCACTTAGTACATGTGAAAAACTGCTTGCCACAGCAAATGTTTGGTTGTATACATATTGCAACAATGAAAAAGGAGGGACCTGTACCTCAGTTCTGTACCTCCAAAGGGATCAAGTGCTGACACAGTGACAGGAAAAGGGTATTGCATGAGAAACGGGACCAGGAAGAGGTGAGCCCATTTGCAACATTGTGGGGGTGGGAGGGGACATGATGCAGAGATAATATGGGCAACGTAGGTGGGGTCCCAATCTTTTAGGTGTCTGAAAACACCATCTTTCTGCTCAAGGGAGAGATGAGGAGAGTCCGTGAGTGAGCCTAAGCAAACACATCTAATGAGATGGTTCTCCATGCCCATGACTCTGACCTTGAGGAAAGAGCTTCACTGGACCCAAAGAGTAAAGAGTTTGTATGCAGCTAAATTGTAATCCTGTGGGAAGGCAAAGGGATCAAAAGCCTCTCCTTCCTCCGGCCAGGAAATGTTTTACTAAGATTCTTTTCTTAGACCTCTTGCCACCTCTGTTCCCTGTGTCCGTGGCCTTGACAGACTGGCTCCCTCACCCCTTCCCACCCCAGGCAAAGCCCCAATCTGCAAAACCCACGTGAACACAAACCCTAAAGAAGGAGCAGCTGGACGCTCTGATCCAATGACACTTGACCTTGAAAAGGCACTCCTGAAAAATCAATATGAAAGAAATAAAAAATATTATTCATCTCCAGCCTGGAGTTCGAATGACCTTGTCTGCTAATCAGAGAGCCCTGACTCCAGTGGCTTAAACCAGTTGGAAGTTCCTCTTTCCTAAGAAAGAAAGGCAAAGAGAAGCCAGAGACTGAATGGCTGCCTGTTGTGAAAGCCCTAGCTCTTCTCTCCTCCCATTCGTAGCAGCGACTTACGTCGGTGAGGTCATCTTTCTGCTGCCACGTGACGATTACAATTCCAGCCAGAACATAGGAGTCTAGAAGTGCAAAGGAAAGGGGCACCTGGCAGCTCTCCGAGGTCCTTTTAGAAAGCTTTCCCGGGTGATGGATGCACCCAACACCTTGACCTTCATTTTACTGACTAAAACTCCATGACATGGCGTCTGCCTGGCACCGAAGGAGACCTGTTGATGAGATCTTTAGATTTGAATAAAATGAATTTATTTTATTCAAATATAACAGGGCTCTGTTAGGAACAGGAAACACAGGGAATTCAGGATAGATGAATCCCTCAGGACCAGTGGTGAGAGTGACGATACCGGGAGGATGGAGGGAAGGTGAGGGAGAAAGGGGGAACAGATTACAAGGATCTACATATAACCTCCTCCCTGGGGGACAGACAGTGGAGAAGTGGGTGAAGGGAGATATCGGACAGTGTAAAATATGACAAAATAATCATTTATAAATTATCAAGGGCTCATGGGGGAGGGGGAAAATGGGCTGATACTAAGGGCTCAAGTAGAAAGCAAATGTTTTGAGAATGATGATGTCAACAAATGTACAAATGTGCTTGATGCAATAGATGGATGCATGGATTGTGATAAGAGTTGTACGAGCCCCCAATAAAATGATTTTTTTAAATGGGGCTCTGATTAAGGAGAAAGATTGATATTGGATAATCTACCATTTGAAGGGAAGGCTAGCTGAAGTGGAAAATGAAAGGTTAGACAAGACTGTTCCTCAGACTAAAATCCGGAGCAGTAAAAGCTCCAGGAAATAAGAGAAAGATTCGGAAATGGTCATGACCTAGTGGGTCTTCATCTTTCCTTCCTGAACCTTATGCTCTCTGAAAATGGGGATGAGGTCCCAAGCCCATCCAGGGCAATTCAGTCAGATGTCCTTGAACTTAAGGGGTTGGCTTTTTGCATACACCATGAAACATCAGGTTTTTTCTATCTTTTTTTTTTTAACCTAAAAAACAATACTCAAACCCATGGCCACTGAGTCAAGTCTGACCCAGAGGGACCCTGTATAGGGTTTCTGAGACTATAGATCTTAATGGGGGCAGACAGCCGCAGCCTTCTTCCACAGAGGGACTAGACGTGGCTACTGGTTTGAACCACCATCCTTGCAGTTAGCAGCCCAATGCCTAATTGCCACCAGAACGCCTTACAGTAGCCACTTTACTTTCTACTGTGTCACGCCTCGTAACTATTTGAACATGGCAAATCACCCAACCCTTTTAAAATATAATTTTATGGCCAATGAGCATCTTTTTTATCAATGTCATTAGTCAGCAGGGAGATGCAAATCAAACCTTTTGAGCTATCACTTCACCCCCACTAGAAGACAATGATGATAAAAACTAGACACAGCAGGTATTGGTGAGACTGTAAAGAATATAGAACTTGGCTTGCTTGCTGATGGAATTGTAGGTTGAGTGAACCATTACAGAAAAGTTTGTCAGTTCCTCAACTAGTTAAAGAATTACCATCTCTAGGATCCAACAAAAAACCTGAAATCAGACACACGCAGATACTTGTACCCCAATGGTCAGCCTAGCCCTAGGCATAGTAGCCAATGGTGGGAAACTGATAAATATAAGAGGGCTTTTAAAAGTTTGTAGAAACAATTGCATTATCTTTCCATAAACTTTTTTTTTAAACCCTGTAGTTGAACAGTAACATGTACTTGCAGTGGCATGTTACTCAACCATAAAGAGAAATAAAGGTTTGATGCATGCTGCCATGGGGATAGACCTTGAAAACATTAAGCTGAGTCTGTCGTGAAAGGGCAAATGTTACAGGAGCGCACTTGTATGAGTTATCTAAAAGTGGCCAGCGTACAGATGCCCAAGTTTATTCGGAGTTACCAAGACTGGGCATGACCCCATTACTCAGAGGGCACTGAGCTCTGTGAAGGATGATGGGAAAATGTGAAAATTGGTGCTGATTGAACAGCATGAGGAACATCATAATTATACATGTAAAATGCTGGGATGAGAAATGATCGGTTACATATAGGCTTACAAAATTATATGTGTATAAATATATAATGTTGAATTGTCAAATGTGTGAGATATTAGGGGTAAGATGACTCTCTAGAAACTGACTTAAATCTATAATTGAGCCTTTTGGCTACTGTACACTAGCTTAATCCAGCTTGGCTCTATTTTTAAGTGATGAGATGTACCATTGTATAGGAAAACTGCCACACCATTTCAAAAGGTTTGGGGGCAGGGCCTGGGCATCAGCGTGCGTTCCTTGCTGGGAAACTTCAACTCATGAAGAAAAACACATTGTTTTCTACTTTTCATTCATAGGCTGGCCCTGAATTTTTCAAAGTGGGACGTGAGCTGTTTATTTAGAATACTTTGGGGGGAAATTTTTTAATTAAAAAAAAGAATACTTGAAAACGCAGAGGTTTCTATTTGTGTCGATGTCGAGGTCAGGGGTCATTATGATTCAGACTTATGTCATCTTGCTGGCCTTGAAAGGAGCTTGTCCCACAACTTTTAAAAGCTTTTAAGTCATGACCGACTCACAGTTTAAACTCATAGCCTACATGGGATGGTGTTGAAGCCGTGATTCCTGACATGGTTGCTAAGGTAACTATGGGAGTGATCACAGTAGGTTTCTCAGAAAGCCCTGCACCAAGCACATACCTATATCCAAGCAATGTGTGTAACCAATGTTGGTATAATTTTAGGGTATGAATATTTTAATCACTACTGAATTTTGAATATTTACTTTTCAATCCAGGTCTAACTGGCTCAAAAGCCCGGATGCTGATTCTGACCAGCTCTTCCGCATGGTGGCCGAGGTCTTCATCTTGTGGTGCAAATCGCATGTAAGGTTACATACAGGCCTTGGACATAGAGGTTCAGAGGTACGGGTCTTGGCAAACTTTATGGTAATGTTTGATATTTTTATTCCCCCGCTCCACTTAGAACTTCAAGAGGGAAGAGCAAAATTTTGTGATTCAAAATGAAATTAATAACTTGGCGTTTTTAACTGGAGACAGCAAAAGCAAGATGTCAAAAGTAAGTCCTGAGAAATCCACTCCAATGACTCTTTAACCTTGACCCTGAGCCATGACTTGGTGGTATCTTATATTTTGCTGGCATTGGCTCTTTACTGCATCCTTGACCAAGCCACGGTAACCAATGGCCTCTACTGCTGTTTCTTTGAGATTGAGCTAGAAGAAACTGCTCTCCACTAAGCATGATCATCACATTTTGTGAATGAATAGCTGCTTGAACATGACAAATGTTTAAGTGTCAAGACTTGCCTAAGGCATTTGAGAGGGTTCCAAAGCAAAAGCTGCGTCAGTGAGTTTAAAAAGAACTGCCTCCTCTGAGGGGAAGCTCCCAAACTACTCATTCCGAGAGCTACCTGGGGGGGGGGCTGTGAACACATGAGCAGCATGCACTTTTAAGTGTGTGCTTCCTTTCCCCCCGTCCGGACATCCCAACGCTGTTTGGTTTCAGCAGCATCGACCTCTTAATGCCTTAAGTTTATTTTCCATGTGAGTTGCCCTCAGAAATACAAACACAAACATTTGTTCATCTCACTGCAGAAAATGTTTTAAAGAGGGCATGCTGGACCATCTGTCTGGGGAAAAAAAGCAAAGAAAAAGAGCAGCCAACAGAGGAAATAGGAGGAGGTTTCCAAAAGATGGTGGCAAAATGGAATTAAGGGATCACGGAGTTTTTCCACAAACTTTTCCAAGCCCCCTCGTACAAGGGAGAACAATTGGTCTCCCGTTGTCTCCTCAGTGAGCTCTGCAGAGGGAGGCTTCATTATTTTGATTGGAGGGAATTTTCAGACATGCTTTTTCCAGTGTGCACACAGAAGTAAAGCCTACTGAAATGTGATGGTTTGTTACCAGCTATTGTGGCTTGCCCTTGACCCTGCCCCCGCCCACCCCACCCCAAGAAGGGTGCCTCCATGAGGGTTGACTCTTTGTCAAGTACACATGACCTGTGGTACCTGACGTGTGTAGCTCTCATTGCTGGTAGTACTGGTCCCCTGCTGCTTTTGAGGAACATGGAGGAGGAGTGTGCACAGGGACCCTCAGAAGTGAACCGTCACTTCTGGAAAGTTGGGGATCATGGCTTTGTAGCAAAGCCCTTAGTGGGGCATCTTTCCAAAGGATCCTTTGTGAGGGGGGACCCATGGATGTGGAGCTACAGACAAGGGGGCTCTATGACACCAAACATGCCGTCTTCAGCACCTGGAACCTCACAAATTGAGGCCAGTGCTGGCCGGCTGCAGCCCCTCCAAGCTTTCCATTCCAGTCATCTCTGGCCATGTTGACACGAACACTTCTTCCAGCCAACCTATGTTAGAATCAAGTATACACTGAGAACTAGAATGTGATTGATTACAATTACACACATACAAAAAACAACACATCAGAAATACATATTCACATTCAAGAGGAAATCTTTGCTATATAGGAAGCTTATGGTGAATTTTTATTTTTTGCTTTAGATATTCATTTGAACCTCCAAATTCATTTTACAATCAGCTGTTGGCAAACGCATTAGCTGCTCATCCGAGGTAGCCAAGGTCATCATATCTTTCACATTCCTACTCCTGCAACATTATTTTGATTATCTTCAGTCCCCTCTGCATGGTCTTCTTTCAGCCATCACAGGCTCTCTCATGCCCCCTGACCTACAGAAAGTTAAGTCATTCCCAAGCAGATTCCATACTGGCTTCAACTTGCAGTGGATTCAGTGACGCACAAACCAAAGCAGCTCGCGTCCATTGGATTTTGTCAGGGAACGGCGGCGGCAGGGCACACATGACACTGTTTAAAGTATTTGGTTCCCAGATGAACAGAAATGGCAAGGACATTTCAACCTTATAGTGAATAGGTGCTCAGAGTGTTTTGTTTTGCATTCGAGGAGAGATGACCTAACAGAAGAACTCATCTACTAACAAACTAACCTGGCACGCGGCTCACGTCTGTCACTGAATTAGGGAAAGGTTTGATTATGTTGTAAGGGATGGTCATTTTCAGAATCTGTGTGCCTCCTTTCTTGGTCAGGTCAGTTAGTCTACAGGGCCAACCGATTGCATTTCCATTCCCCTTGACACGTTTGTCAATTCTTTCTGAGCCAGATGGCATAAGATCAAAGTTATAAAACATCGATGCTCCTTAGATGTTAATGCTGGTTAATAAGTGTTGTTCCTAATGAGTATTGTTCCTGTGTCTCTGTTGAGACTCATTGTGTAATAGTTATGAACACTAGAGATGGAAAAGCAGTGAAGTCTTACCCATTGTCCAGCTGTTGACTGGAAAGATGGCCTTGTTTTAGTCAACAGTTACAATTCTGTGCCCCAATTTCCCAGTCTGTAGCATGGATTTGGGCTATTCCCCAATTTCTCCCAGCATTAAGATGCCCTCTTGTTAAAAAAAAAAAAAAGATTGTATATAGAATCTCTAAATAATACTGCATAAATGTAGTCTATTATTTCCAGCAGGGCGATGCCATACCTCTAATGAAAACCAACTCTCATGGCCATTTCTGATCTTCTTTGGATGCCGATCTGCATACTGAGGGGCCGGGAAGGGGTACTTGTTCCGAATACAGTTGACTCCCCATTGCCTGTGCCTTTCTGCAGTTAGATACTCTCTCTACTACGGAGCCCAATGGGCCCCTGCCACCTGTGCTTGCTTTTCTCTCCACTCTTGGTTGAATTCTGGTGTTGTATAAATGAGACTGCATCAGTGCATATGGCTGTCTCTGTGGACGTATGTGTACCTGAATGCTGCATGCTCACAGACACTACATATGCTGCGCATAGAAAGAGGGCAGAAAACATAGACAGTGGGCCGAGCCCTGTTCATACTTGATCGATGGAAGGTCCATTGAAAGAGATGTCACTTTTCTGGCAGTTAAAACCGGTGGTTTGGGGAGGGCAGGGGCATGGGAAGGGCTGGGGGGGTGGCTCGGGTTTAATTTATTTCTATGACACCAGTTTGCACATATGTGTTCCACGAAATGCATCTAAGCTGAGCAAGTGTTTTTGTTTTGTTTTGTGTTTAAACTTATTTTGTTTTCTGGAAAAATGGCAGCAGCTTCCTCGGAGGGGAATGGTAAGTTAGAATATGGTTATCCCAAGAAATGCCAGTCCCTTGGCCCAGGGCAAAAAATTATAACATAAAAGGAGCCATGATGCAGGAGGCAGGCTCATTGTTTAAAGCCGCTCAGCCCGTGGAGCATGATCTCAGTGTATTGAAAATGGACAGAAGCTGTTTTAGAAAGTAACCTTTTGAGTGTTCCAAGGGTATTCCGTTACCGATGTAAGTTCTCCTCTTGCTCTAAGCTTCTCTGGGTCTCCCTCTCCCCTTTCTCTCAGTGTCCCCCACCCTACACACACCTACTTCTCTCCTTTGTATTCCCTTTATTCTTGTACTTGGACAAGTCTGTCCTTCACTCCATCTCTCCCTATAACCGTCACTCTTTCCCTTTCTCCCACTACCCCTTCCTTCCCTTGATTTCTCATTCTCAAATGGACTTCTGGAGCGTCACCTTTCACTCTGAAGTACAATGTGGAACTGACTTGTCTTGACATCACTGAGCCTTTCAGTGGGAACAAGAGGTTCACAAGGCAGGGTTCCTTCGCCTCTGCCCAGGAACCTGAAAGGAGCCCTCCCAGTGCAGTCTCAGAGCACTAAGTAGCGTGAAGTCAAGCCCTGCCCCACTCCCTGGCCTCAGTAGGGGTTGCCAGGATTTGGACCATACCAGATGGTATTGCCAGAGGAGGGGACACCAATATGGCAGTCTATGAAAGTTTGTGATGTGTTTCAGAAAATAATAATAATAATTGTTTTATAAAATTATCCTTGTAGGTGGTGTTATAAATGGGGAAGATCAACCACACCACTATATTAATAATTAAAGCCTTTATTATACACCTGGATCGAGAGTAGGTTAGTACCTAGAAACCTCTCAATCCAGAACCAAGAAATTCCAAACTTTTTAAAGTTCAAAATAGGGGGCTGGCTCAATGGGAGGGATATTCTAGCGGTTACAGTCTTATCAGGTTGGCAGGGCAATGGGATTGGGGGGCACAGCACAGCTGCAGGCACTAATTCAAGGTCTTACAAGATAGTGTACATTTCCTGCGAGTTGGGCAGACAGTTTGGTGGGTGGCATCTGGGAAGAGTCAAGGTCTTGTTGGGAGAGCCAGAAGAGAGGAGAGGAGAAGGGGGGCTAACTGCTAGCAGGGGTTAAAGGCAGTTTGAACCATGGCGTTCCTCATGTGAAGCTAGGTGACCACAGGTAGTTATAACAACAGAAGCCTTATTGGTAAACCTAGCTGCTATGTGGTGCATGCCTCCCGGGCTAACTGCTTTGGGAACCTCCACAGCTGTCCTCCTTCCCCAGTGGCAGTGAGGCTGCAGACCTGTGGCTTCATCTGCATGTGATAAAAGCACACACTGTTGTTTCGGTTGCTGCCGTTGTTCTCCTAGCCTGATTTTGCCAAATTTTCGGGCCTTTAGCTCTTAATGGTATAAGTAGTATTTGTGACTTTTTGGAGGATAAAATAATAATTAAAGAAATAATACAGTTGCTTTAAAAAGCCTTTTCCACTTAAGTTACTAATTGTGTTGTCAACCACTTTTAAACACTGTTGTCAATCAACGTAGATTTTTACAAAACAATTTTGTTGGATGTATATAATCTAAGACACACTACATTTTAGCACCTTGCTAATATATCATGATTCCGTGACTCAAATTGGTAGCAACCATTACTAGGCATTCTGTAATGTCTGGCGTAGAGTAAGGAGGTCCAGGAGAGGAGCGGGGAGACCATGAGTTAGCACACCAGACTGGGTAACTCCAATCCTAGTGATGCCACCACCCACCCACCCCCACTATGCCATAGAATGCAGTGTTTGGCCTTTCACTCCCACCCTTAGAATCATCTCTTTGATCTTAAACTGTTGATTGTAAACTATGAGGGAAACATGATGGCTTTAAAGCAGCAAAACAAAGCACAGCCCTTTGCTGTCACCTTGCTTCTAACTCCTGGCAGCCCCATGTGTGTGGCAGAGTAGAATCGTGCTCCCTGGGGTGTTCAAAGGCCTTTGGGAAATTGATCACCAGGCCTTTCTTCCAAGGTACCTATGGGTGGGGTTGAATTACAGACCTTCCATTTAGTAGCTGATTCCTTGAATGGTTTGTTAATTAAAGTAATGGGAATTTATACGATTCTATTTTAAAAAAATGTTCCCAAATTATTGAAAGTATTTTTAGCAGTAGGGAAGTGCCATGAGTTAAGGAATATCTACAATATGTCAGGGAAAGAATGAAATTAGAAGGCCTCGTGTGTGCGGGAACCCTTTGACCTGAGGCATATGGAAAGATACCAGCGGAGGCTGTAAGGAACTGCAGCATACCATGAAAGAGACTGTCTTTTCCTTACGAGGTCACTCTGACTCATTTTAGGTATTGGTGGAGTACTTTTATCTTAAGCAAGCCTTCCCCCCACCCCCAGCAGAAGTATAAGCCTTGCACCATATCTCTGCTCCCCCACTCTCTTTGTGGCCACAGATCTACTGGAGGTGAAAATACGGTGGGTGGAAGAAAGAATGGAAATTGTGGCATTTGATTATGTGACAGATTGTCTTGTAGTCCACCAGAGTGAAAGAGGGAGGTGGGAGGGAGAGAGTTTGCCCATCTAGAGAACTCGTATGGGTGTGTGGGTGGCTGGGTCTGAAGACCACCACCACTCTGGGTGCCCTGAGCCCAGCAAGGCTTGTCCTAGAAACGGCATCCCTCCCTGCAGAGGTGGGCTGCTCGGTCTGGGTGGAAGTCCAAGAGGGCCAAATTAACCTTCATCTTAACCCCACTTGTTCTTCATGCCACAGCCAATTGGCTTCGAGAATGGCTCCATTTCTGTTGCGTTGGCTGGGAAACTTGGGCTAAGAAAGTGTGACTAATGTGGTGCCTTGTGCTTTGCACCCCGGCTTTTACTGACTGCCTCTTCTCCCTGTTTCTTTTCTTTTGTCTTCCCGCACAGGCCATGCAAGTAAAGGTACCGCTCAAATGCATGACGTGTCTGTCCTGTCCCAGTACTGTGATCACCGGGGGGTGGGCATGGGGGTGGGTCGCGCAGGATGGACTTCCCCCACGTAGAAGCCCTCAGGGAACGCATGCAGGCCAATCCACCCACTCTTGGATTGAGGTAGCCAGGGATGAGGTCTCCTTGCTATCTCTGCTGCCTCCTCCCAAAGCTGCCCTCTCTGAAGCCACCACACTAGCAGGGATGGGGACAACTGACAGGGCTCCAGGGCCCAGAGCCTCCCTCCTCCACTGTGCCACGCCAGGCTCAGCAGTCCTATCAGTGTCCCAGTCCTTCATGTACGACACGCGATCCACCTCTGTGCAAGGTTCCCGGGATGCAACGGGAGTTCTCCAACGACTAACTAAAGTCAAGGGTTTGAACCCAGTGGAGAACCATCCGTTTTGATATCAGCTACATCGGGACAGTCTGTGTGTGGCTGCTGTATGTTCTCACTTTGGCTTTTCATTCATGTGTGTCTGTCGCCGTGGTTCCAAGCACTCTGTGGCAAGGAGCCAAGTCACACCCATCTTTGAGAAAAAGAAGATGGCACTACGGCAGGGTAGACTCGGGTCTGGGGGTTGGCACAGGCTTTAGCTTGCTGTGTGACCGCAGGAGAATGAATACACTTTTCCGAGCCTTCTGTTCTCATTCATAAAACCGATTCGGTAATGTCTCAGGATTGTTAGACCAAGTAGAAATGATTCTCAAAGAAAAATGTTTCTGCATCATCGACACCGCTTTTTCCTTTTGTGGTTCGAACAACGTGAGATGGCCCACACAAAAGAGCGCGCAAAAATAATCGTTTAGATTCCGGCATCAAATCTCCCGAGTAACATGTTGCATATGTACGCTCTTGTACTGCACAAGACCACTGACATGTGACATTTCCTAGCGCAGATTGGTGCATGACTTACCTACACGAAAGCAGGCTCTAGTATTCGTGGATGATATGAAGAATGCCCGAGGGTAATTTAGAGGACAGACGAGTTTTGCCCTCAGGCACAGTGTTTAGAAGATTCCTATCTTCTGATGGGAAACCCCGTAAGGAAGCCAGGACACGCGCAGAACGCGATGCCCATGACTGCGCTGAGGCCTTCCTTGTAACCCAGCAGTCCTTTCTGCTGGGTCCTGAACACCAGCCGCTGCCTTCTCTGAACTTCATTTCTGCCCCTGCTGCCCTTTTGGGGGGCGGGGTGCTCGCTGTGTTGGAGCATGGGCACAGAGTGCACTTGGGCTTCCCTGTGGTTTCTGTGACAGTGAGCACCTCAGGGTGCAGCTCTCCCCCCTTGGACGAAAGAAGCACCGTGTGGCTTTTTACGTGCCCACTCATACATAAGCCTCTTTCCCACACGGGAAAGTTGTTGAAAGAGATCACTCCCAAGGCAGTGTTCATTCTGACCCAGTGTTTCTGTTGAAGTCAATTCCTCAAAAACGGAATTCTGTCCCAACCCAAGAGCCGCAGGCAGGCCTTTCCTGTGTGCTGGTTCCAGGGGTGGTCTGGTTGCCCTCCTGCCCCCCCCCCACCCCCAGCACTGTGTCAGTGCGCCACTGTACGCTGTGGTGCCACCGTGCTGCAGACACTCCGGCAGCACTGGTAGAAAGTCAAGCTGAGTGAGCACCAGGACCCTCAGGCCTTTCTCTCCCTTCCGGACCGCCTGCGTCCAGGTGTGCCCTGGCCGTAGAGGGCAAGTCGTTTAAGAGGAGCCCATGGGATCAGCTCTGCTTTCATGGCCTTCCATCAGGAAGCATTCTTCTCCGGGAGACCCACTGGGTCCGCCGCCCTGTATTCTGGATGCTGAGGGCCCTCAATTAGTTGCCTGGGGCTTCCAGGAGCCGGTGCATTGAATTTGGCTCTCAGAGCTGCTGCTTTAGTGAACAAACGCTCTCTGCCCGAGAGGATGAGGCTGTAAGCGCTAAATGGACCACCCACACAGGGATGTGGGGAATTCATTCTCCTCTTCAGTTTGGCCCTTACCTTCCCCCCACGCCCCCTCCCCCAGTAGACCCTCGAAGCACACAAAGAACCAGACCCCTCCATTCTGACTCATAGAATTTTCCTTTTTCCGAAGAGCACTGCCTTGTGTGTCATGGGGCAACGAGGGGGTGGGGGCTGCAGTGAGCGAGCAGGTGGGGGAGGGGGGGCTAGAATAGGATGCCAGTGCTCCAAAACACTAGCTCCAGCCTTGAAAACACAAGGTTGTAGAGGGGGGTGAGGGGTTTAAAACGTTCACGGGGAAAAATTTCCACTGACTTTTTAAAGTCCCCTCATATTGCTCCAGTGCTCTTGCACATAGTTCCTGAATCCGAAGCGTCTCCGATGTTTTCTGGAGTCGTTTTGTCAGTTATGGTGTGCTCATTTGGTCAAGAAGTGAGCGTGCAGGGTCTTGTAGGTGTGTGTACTGTGTATTGTGTGCTCTGGGTGCTCGCCCGTCCCCCAGGAGAAGCCTCGGGGCAGTCCTGAATGCCCACCTGGTCCTCCTGTGTTGGAAACACTCCTGTGACTGTCCTGTGTAACCCAGGGAGGTCCTGGCTGTGCTGACGGGGCCTCCAGGAGGCAGGCTGCCTCTCAGACGAAGCAGTGCCTTTCAGAGGCTCTGAACCCGTTTGTTTCTAACATCATCTCCTAGTCCGGCGGACAAGACCAAGAGCGGAAGAAGACGAAGCGGAGGGGAGACCTGTACTCTATCCAGACCTCCCTCATCGTGGCTGCGCTCAAGAAGATGCTGCCCATCGGCTTGAATATGTGCACGCCAGGTGACCAGGAGCTGATCTCCCTGGCGAAATCACGATACAGCTACGTAAGCACCACCGCCCCGGGGGAGTGCCAGCACCAGCCCCTGACGGCTTGTTTCCCTCATTCCCCGAGGCAGAGGGACCGAGACCACGGTCCACAGAGGAAACGTGCCCCCTTTCTTAAAGCTAGTTTGGAGGGTCAATCCTCTTCCCACCAGGGCAAGTCTTTAGAATGGCTCTTCTTTTGTTTGATCCCAATAAACTGCCCGTGTACCCCTCTCCTCTGCTCTATACCTCTTCTCTGCCCGGTACTTCCATAGCGGCATCTGGAAATAAAATGTAGCACCTCTTTCCCCCAGAGAGACACAGATGAAGAAGTCAAGGGGCATCTGAGGAACAACTTACACCTGCAGGAAAAGGTAACGCCGAAGGGAGACGAGAACTCAGCAGGCTTGCCTGCTGGCACACCGGCGATGCCGTTCTTCGACGTACTTTATATTGGCTTTAAGAAAATGTGCTCTGGAAACCGTCTTGGCGGGCTGATGTTTAACTGGCCACAGGAGCTCTTTGCCCTTACGTTTTTGTTTTGTCTCAGGTTTTGTTTGGGTGTGGGGTTTGACTTGCCCTTAATTTGTATACTTTCCCTCGGTGTTCCAAAGAAGACACGACAAGGCAGCCAATAAAGCATGTCCCCCCACCTCCAGCTCTGTGGACTCCAAGCCACAGCAGGGGAGAAGCTAGATGAGGTGTTCGAATTTACTGCCCCTGCATCTTGTTCAGCAGAGAAATGGGCACCAAGGAGCAGTTTAAACACCTCTGATTCTAGAGAGAGCGTGCCACAAAAGAAGTTTGTGTCTGAGTTGGTTAAAAAAAAAAAGTGATTTTTAAAAGTCTACTTGAGATTTTCCCAGATCTGTACATCTGAAATTTTTCCTCAGATACATCATTCCCTAAGATAAGAAGGTAGGTCAAATAATATTGCTACAAAACCATAGATCCTCTTGTTAAGCAAAGGCATCAACATGTGAAGCTATGACTGTTCAGCATCTCCTGCATCTGGCTCTACATCTTTGGTTCCCAAACTTATTTAGCCTGCTACCCCTTTTTCAGAAAAAACAGTGCGCCCTGGAAATTAACAGATTTTATACTAGAGCCATAGTCCAGGATAAAGTAGGTATCCTTTTGCAGTGCCCCCCCTAGTAGCTTAAGCCCCCCCCCCAGTAGGTAGTGTCACCCACTTTGGAAAACAGTGGTCTGTACACTCCTAAAGGTGATACATCCATCTCGCTAACCCTTTCCTGAAGAATTCTGCACTCTCCGATTGACACAACATTGACATCATTTTGACTTCCTTGAGGGATTCAAGTTGTGGGTGTTTTCCCCCAGGGTTCTTTGAGCTCAGGGGATCAGAGGTCTGACAGGCAAGATCAGGGCTGAAGGGTGAATGAGGTACGCGTTCCCAATAAAAGACCCCTGAAGAGAATTGAGGCTAAGTGCAGTGCTAAAAAAATTTGCCAGTAGCCTGCTCACAGCGATATATTTAAACATGTTTTCATTGGAATAAAATTGTGTGCGCGCATGAACTGGAGCCCCGGTAACAATCCTTTTTGATCCACCCTTGAAGAGGCCTTACGTCGGCAGGAAAATCCCCTCCTTCCCAACCTAAACAAGAAGACACCCTCAGTCATCACGAGAGCCGTCAAGGCTCTGGGATCGCTCAGTTTGTGGAGCAGGCATTTGTCTCAGGATCTTTGGGTTTAATAACCGTAAAAGAAGATGACTGTGGGACCCGTTTACTCACTGGATGCATGAATGCCGAGTCATAAACTGACCTAAGGTTAGCCTAGGACCGGTAAGACCCATGAAATCTGCACACACAAAAACCCTGAAGTGATTTATGGATTGTTGTAAGAGCTGAAAGAGCCCCTAATAAAATTATATTAAAATTTTAAAATCTTGGGGAAGCTACTTAAAAAAGAGAGAGAGAGAAAAGAAAAAACGCCCTGAAAGCACATGGAAAGTGTCCAATCCCTAGAACATGGGCTGGGATGCCAGTAAATAAAACTTGCTCACATAAAAACTTGTTTCCACGGTGCATTCAAAGGACATGCACCGTCATTAGAGAATCAGCAGATGCAACAAAAGGGGAACTGTTAGGCCTTGGGAACTATAAAAAGAGACTTTAAAGAAAATGTGATTTAAGTATTTAAAGTGATAAAGGTAGTAATAGAATCCATAAAGAAGAATTAAATGTTATTTTGTTTAAGTGAGGGAGAATGGATTGATAAAGGCCTAAAAGTCATTCTAAACAAACAAAGTCCTTTTTCTGAGCTATTGAAACTTAAACCTTGATGTATGGGTTAAAAGGTAAGCTAAGACACAGCTGAAAAGAGACTCTCTGAGTTGGAATATTGATCTAAGGAAATCATCCAAAACTTGACAGATAAAATGATGGAAAGTATCATAAAAAGAGTTAGAGGACATGGAGGCTAAAATGAGAAGTTCCTACATAAAAGCAGTATGAAGAAAATAAAAATCACAACTGGACCAATAAGCAACATCTTGATAAACAAAAAATTGAAGTTTACATGGAATTCATTTTGCTTGGATCCACAATCCATCCCTATGGAAGTAGAAGTCAAAAAGTATGATTTACATACTGCATTGGGATAATGTGCAAAAGATCTCTTTAGTGTTCAAAAGCAAAGATGTCACTTGGAAGACTAAGGTGTTCCTGCCCCAAGCCATGATATTTTTGGTCACCTCATGTGCATTGCAAAATCTGAACAATTAATCATGAAGACCAAAGGATTGATGCCTTTGAATTATGGTGTTGACAAAGAATAATGGATATACCATGGCCTTTCAGAAGAATAACAAATCTGTGTTGGAAGAAGTACAACCAAAGTGTCTCTTAGAAGTGAAATTGCCAAGAGTTTATCTCACCTTCTTAGGACATGGTATCTGGAGGGACAAGTCCTTCGAGAAGGACGTCTTGCTTGGCAAAGCAGTGAGTCAGTAAAAAAGAGGAAGAGCCTCAATTATACGGGTTGATTGTGAGGATGGTGCAGGGCTGGTCACTGCTACATTTAGTTCATAAAGACTTGGAGTAGAATGCCTCATTAGACTGACTCACTCATACCTCACAACACACATAACATTGATAGGTATTTCATGAGCGTGCATTAGGGAGAGAGGGAGAGAAAAGGAATAGGAAACACAAGTCTTGGCTGTTCTGGAATCGTGCTTGGATTAAAGGAATGTCGTACCATAAGAGGTGTGTGAGTGTTACTCCTCTCTTAAGTGTGCTTCAATTTCCAGTCTGAGGACCCAGCTGTAAAGTGGCAGCTGAATCTCTACAAGGATGTTCCGAAGAGTGAAGAGCCTTCCGATCCAGAAAAGACCGTGGAGCGCGTGCAGCGAATTTCAGCAGCTGTCTTTCACCTGGAGCAGGTAAGTAGAGAGACCCCCACCCCCACCCCGACACACTGCCCAGGAATAGACAGAGCTTTTATCCACAGTCAGTTGGGTCTCCGTTAGATGTGGCCTCCTCAGGCAAAACACCAGGCTCATCCCCTGAAAGTGATATTGGTACCTCGTGGTAGCATACCCCTCGATTGTTTCCCCGCCCAACTTTTTCCATATTCTTACCATTGGCTCAAGTGACCCATTCAAGGCCTGTACCCAGTTGTAATGAAGGGGCAAAAGCAGTTGGGAAAAGGAGGAAACCTCAGGCCTCTATTTTTAGGTCCATTCTACCATCGACTTTTGGGAAGCCATAATTCTCCTGGAGTTGAGGACTCTGGTTTTAGGTGGCTATCATGTGCGCCCCCAGAAGGACAACAGACTGTGACCCTGCCCGTGTGTTGTCTCCTCAGGTGGAACAACCTTTGAGGTCCAAGAAAGCCGTCTGGCACAAACTGTTGTCCAAGCAACGGAAACGGGCAGTGGTGGCCTGTTTCCGGATGGCTCCTCTCTACAACTTGCCCAGGTAGTTACTTACTTTCTTCCCTCCTTTTGGCCTTTGAGCCAGTGATGGGAATTGAGGTGTCCTCCTACAGCTGTGCTCTCACCTGGCCCTGGCATTCCTGATCCCAGGGGTAGACATTAGAGTCCTTGGACCATGGAGCTATTGCAGCCTGCACATAGTATAATACCTGCTAAGATAATTAAGGTAAGCATAAAAACTGAAGCCAGATGAGATCCCCTATGCCCCCCTGCTGACCTCGGCTCAGCATTTTGCACTGTAAAATTAGCCAGGTAAGAATTGGGGTGGGGTGAGGTAGGGGCTCTCTTCCTGCCGAAGTGGGATTCTTTGTGAGGATGTGAGGCGACTGGGTAGACTGCAAAGGATATTGTCTCTAAAATACCTCATATTCCATCCGCAGGCCAAACAATGTGTGTTCTGCTCAGTTCCTTTAACTGGACCAAAAATATAGGGTTTGCTTAGCAGGTATGGAAATGTCACTTGAGAGTCCCTGGTTGTTTTGGTGCCAATTCATGGTGACCCTATAGGAAAGAGTGAATGTTCCACGTGGATTCCTAGGCTGGAATCTTTAAGGAAGACAATCACTGGGCCTTTTTTCCAGTGGAGCTACTGGTGGGTCTGACCCACCCACATTTCAGTTAACAGTGAAGTGCTTATGTCAGCGTACCCCCCGAAAATGCTTCGTCTCCGTGCATTTGCCTTCAAGATGAGGAAAGGACATTAGTTAAAGAGGCTCCACGAGGCCAGCTCAGACTGGTGTTTCACCTGGGTGTTTTAACCCATTCTTTGAAATAAAAAGTATGTTGACATAGAAGAGAGTATTGCTGACTGAATGGGGCAGAGTTGGCCATGGACACGAACTCAGTGTCTTTGGTCATGTGACAACATTTCCATCCTCAGCCTGATTATAGAGTGGATCCGGCTGTGGCTCTGATCAAGAAACAAAGTTTGGTGATTACATCAATAGATGTGTCCTCGCCTGGTCAGGAACAATAAACTGCCTCAGACACGTTTATTCGGAATCCCACATAAATAAACGTGTTTCTTTGGAATATCGCCATTTTGCTCTCATCCAAATTGTTTGTCTTGACCGTCATTTGTCCAAAGTGCTAGAACCCTGTCCTGAGCCAAGTAGCCAACTGAGATTTCCCCATGAGGGTCTTTGACGATGGTGAGAAAGGCATGGTGTCAGCGACACACAATTGCTCCCACGGGTCTCTTGAAAGGACAGATTAGTCTTAGAGGGGGATGATACACCACACAACCAAGCAGAATTCATGACTAGAAAGCTGAAAAATTAAGTAGTCAGGAGCAGTACATATGCTGTCCAAACCAGCAAAAAGGAGAGAACAAGAAAAAGCATTGGATACATGTTGGTTATCTAGAAGCACTGAAATATCAGAAAGTACTCGCTCTCCCCTGTGGTAGAGGTCCCTAATTTGACCTCTGAAAAGGTTCGCCTCCAAGCACAGGTCTCAGCGCTAGGCCTGATAGGCAGGAATTACAGCCTATTTCTCAAAAACAAGCTGCTGTTGTTGTTTTTCAAAATCCACTGAAAATGACATCCTTTTGTGTTTTCACTGCTTCCTCTGCACCTCTACTTCTGAACGGGTGATAGTCCGGGACTCACTGTGTCCACAATGAAACATGTCCCACCCCCACCCCCCAATCAAATTGTTTTAGAAGGGTTGTCCCGGTTCTTCTGTCTGGCAATGAGAACTGTGAGTAGCTTTTGAAGGTAGACAATAAAACCAACCAAAGAAGCCTTGAGAAGCTGATAGTGTAGCTCCTCCTCCTCCTCCATCTTGTACTGATCTATAATGCATGGACCCTTCTGAACTAAAAGACTAAGGGGATATGTATTTAATTAAGTTGGAACCATGTCTCTGATGTTACTGTTTAAAAAGAAAACCTTATGCTTTTCTCCAGACACAAAATTAGCAATTTCTTCCTGAGCACCTTTCAACGGGTTTGGCTGGAAAAGGTTAATGAAAAAACTCAGTATGACAGGCTTATACCTGATTTAATGGTAATGTAACCTGTGGAAAGACCTGCCCATTCTCTGCACACGCCTTTCTTGGCCACGATTTAACGTGATCATAAAGACAAGCTTGTACAATTTGTTTTAAAGGAGTTCTGATTGGTCAGATTTTAAAGGAAGATGGCAAGAGCCAGGTTCTAGCGGAAACCAAGACTCTAGGTCTTCATGACTCTGGTCTTGACCTTCATCTTCCTTTTCTCTGTTCCCGCCTCACTCACTGGGAGTCTGAACTGCTGTTCAGTGGTTGACATCCCTGGAAGTAATTCTGGTTTTTAGAGCCGCATCCTGCTTATTCATTGTCCCCAAACAGCCAGTGTCACAGCTAGCATCCAGGAAGTCCCTGATGACGTGTTAATGAGCACAGCATGACCAAGGCTGGTTTTCCTAAGCAAAAGAATACCTTGCTGGTATGGTGCTTTGGAGACTCTACTGTAAAGAAGTCAGGCCCTCACCATCAACCTGATTCTAGATTAGATTACCCAGACGTGAAATCAGCCAAAAGAAGCAACTTTCGCCTTATCGAAAATAAGAAAATAATGCAGGGCTGTTACCTGACATTAGAGGTAAACTGTGATGAAGGCCCTGGAGACCAGGTTAGGCTTGGCTACAGTCACCGCCCTGCCTTACACGCACCATGATAATCTTCTGAAGGTGCTCCGAGTACTCATGCCTAGGAACGGCCCTGGTAGAGGGGTCTAGTTTCTTCCACGTGGATGCTGTTGTTTGCTGTTAGCTACCCTGACCAATCAGAAGAAAAGAATTGTACAAAAGACTATCCTGCTTACTAACCACTAATCACCCAAACTAAAACCAGGTGGTCCACGGACCCCTCTTGATCTCACTCTCACCCCTTCCGCTCAGGCACCGCTCTATTAACCTCTTCCTCCATGGCTATCAGAGATTTTGGATAGAAACAGAGGAGTATTCTTTTGAAGAGAAACTAGTGCAGGATTTGGCTGTAAGTACTGACTCCAACTGGGTGCAGATATGGGTTTGAATGACTTTTGTGTTCGTGTGTGTGTTGCAATAGTTAAATCGCCACAGTACGTTTGAAATGACCTAACCGGATAATTCTCAGAAGACATCCTGCTAATGGTCATAAGAGCCAGAGGATGAGTTTTCCCCTTGCGTGGGTGGGGGGTTGCTAATCCTATCATTCTCCTCCATCTTGCTGTCAGTAACAACTCATCTTTTGTGGATGCACGGCCCATGCTGAGTTGGGAGAAGGGGGCTTTCATGCTGAGTTAAGTTTGCGCACCAGTGGTTGCAGGAGGCCACCGTACCTCCTCAAGGCCCGTGTTCCCAGTCCCTAACTGTGCTTCAGGAAAGGCCTTTGTGCATCGCGCATGCGTCTCGGTGACCCCTCAGCAAATGTGGCGTGCCCTGTCTCTCACCACCCTCCTGCTCTTCAGCCACTCAAAACAACCTGCGAGGGAAGAGAAGCTCGTGGAAATTGCGCCCTAGACCCTCCCCCTGGTTCAGGAAAAGTCAAGCTTCCTGTCCTTTGGCCAGCCCCTGGTTTTTTTACTCTTTTTCCCCTCTCACTTCTTTCTCTTTCTCCATCAGCCTTTCCCCACACCTCTTTCACGGTCTACCTTCCCCTCCCCGCTCCGGCTTCTCCTCTGCCCCTCAGCTCCTTTCTTCAGCTCTTTCCATTTCCCCATTGTCTTTCCATCTGTCTTGTGCCTCCTGCTCCTTATGAGCTCCCGTCAGGGACAAAGACGATTCCTTGGTTTTTTCCATGGGTGACTTATGCGAGCTTGACCATGACCCTCCTTTTGGCCCCCACCCCTCCAGTCTTCTGATCCACTCACAACCGAGGGAGTTTGTACCAATTTCCTGAATCTGGCCTGCCCTGTTGGTGACTATGCCAAGCAGTTTCACTTTCCCCCAAGGTACTAGCTGTTAGTTCCCTTTCCACAAAAGCAAGTGGAAAAGACTTGCTCAGAGGGGAAACTGCAAGGCTTGCAGCAGCATCTCTTGGGAGCCAGATGATTTTTTTAATTGAGCAAAGTTAGGAATGGGGGTGGGGGGCGGTTTGCAGAGTTGAATCCAGAAAAATATTGGACCCCAAATGGCCCCAGTGCTTCGTATCTCTTACCTCACCCTTAGCAACAGCCTGAAGAAACTTCAGACAGTGGCCAGAGCGACCCAGGTTCTTGGGTAGACTCCCTGGGTCCCCCTCCTGGACTTGAGGTTGCTCAGAGCTTGCATGGCTGATTGGGGTCAGCAGCTCCTCCCTGTGGCCAGACTTGTTCCTTTAACCCTTCATTAGAATGTTTCTTTGATTGAGATCCCAAGCCTTGCATCCGCAGGGCCTCTACCCTGGAATGAATCTGTAGCCTAGCGGGATTCTCTTTGTGCTGCTGAGTCTCGTGCACTCCGCGTGCCTGGCGCTTGACCTGCTCTTGATCCGAATGCGGCTGTGCGGCACCTGCTGGGACGCACACCTGAAGCCCCTCTGTGTTGGTTTGTGTAGAAATCTCCCAAGGTGGAAGAGGAAGAGGAGGAAGAGAAGGAAAGGCAGCCGGACCCACTGCATCAGATCATTCTCCATTTCAGCCGCAACGCTCTCACGGAGAGGAGGTCAGCACACCGCCGCCGAGCGCGCGCACTCGGCTGCTCCCAGGTGCCCGGGAGGACTGTGTCTCCCCGAAACCCCTCTGCAAACAGCCTTGGGTAGAGAGGGGAGGCCAGATTTGAGAAACCCTCCTTGTCGGGCCAATGCCAGCCCGTAGCGACCCTGTGCACCCCAGAACAAAACGCTGCCGGGTCCTGCGCCATCCTCACAATTGTTCCTATGCCTGGGCGCATTGTTGCAGCCCCCTTACTGCCCTGCTATTGGCTATAAGGACGCGTGCGGGGGAAACAGTGTCGGCCACAGCCCTCTGGGTATCATACCAGACAGTGAGCCGCGTGAGACAGCAACTCTCAGCCTCGAGTACAAGTCCAGCCAACATGGACGCACGTTTTCAGAGTGGGGTGCACGAGAGGATTCACCTTGGCTGAGGGAGGCTGGTTTTAAGTAACGTGCAAGTAGCTATCATTTACGACTCATATGACTATAATTTGGGGAAACTGGGTCCCTCCCCCCAAAAATAGGCTGCTAAATATTTCCCTCCATTCTTTTCAGCAAATTGGAAGATGACCCTTTGTATACCTCCTATTCCAGCATGATGGCCAAGGTACCGCACGCAGTCTTTTGTCCTAGTCCGTGTACCTCCCTGTCTTCTGGCACATGTCAAATCATGCTAAGCCACGACATAGGCTCCAGTCATTGGAAATCAATGTAGCATAGAGGTGACTTTAAGAATCTCCTGATAGCCTTTGAGAAAACCTCAAGGCTTTATAGAAACCATGGGTGCTGGGGGGCTAGATTCAGTTAACAATTCTAAAGGCAACTAAGTGGAGCTTCAGTATACAGACTACCTGGGAGTTTTCAGTCAACATTCAGAACGTGCTCAAACACATCTGCAGGTGAGGGAGGTACAGTACATTTATAAGCAGGGCTCGAAACTAAAGGGATATCCCAGCATCCAGGAAGAGGCAAAGGCACCAGCAATGATGATTCTAGGGGGAGGAGGGTTGCTAGGAGACTGAATGGATGAAGAAACTGCTCCTTCTCAAATGGACAGTTATCGGGTTGGGGTATACAGGGGACCTTTACTACGGGGCCGAGTGGGGAAGGGCATTTTAGAACACAGCGCCCGTCTTATTGGGCCTGGATAAGAACAGCTCCCAGCACTCTGCGCTCTGCACTTGTACCTGAACGTTGCTGGGTGGAAACGTTTGCGTTGTGGTTCACCCAGATAGGTTCCCATGGGTTATGTGATCTTCGTGTTCTCGTTTCTGAACCCCTTGGTAACTATAAACATGGCTTTAAGATGGGAATGTTGTCTTGCAGTGATCAAAATGTTCCTGGTTTTTATAAAGTGCTGAGTTCCTGAGGTGCCTGCAAAGGATGCCCTGTCCCCAGCCCCTCCACATCGGAGCAGGGTTTTGTTTGTTTGTTTAGCCTGAATTGGGTTTTTTTGTCTCTTTACTCCCCTTCTCCCTGAAACACAGAGTTGTCAGGGTGGTGAAGACGAAGAAGAGGAAGACAAGGAAAAAACATTTGAAGTAAGTTTTCCCAAAGATTGGAAAGACGGCCTCTGGCCAAGGCCGTCAAGCCAGGCTACCAGATGTTAGCCCAGGTGGCTCACGCCTGTGTGTCGGGGTTGGCAAATCTGCCCTGATGGCGCACACCTATTAGCTGTGGTTGTGTTGTCTGTCTGTCTGTCTGTTTACCTAATTAAAGGTCAACAGGCAACCAGCAAACCTCCTCACTAGTTTTGCTCTCCTGGGAAGTGATACCTCGATCCAAATATGGGAGCTAGTGGAGACTTGGAAGTGCAAATTCCAGTTTACCCTAAAATTAGAAATCACCTGTGCAGATGGTGGGTTAGTGTTTGCACTACTGTCCTGTAGCTGGAAACTGATGGTCATTTTGGGTTTAAGGCCATTCAGGACCACTGGATCTCACAAGAACCCCAATATCCTAGTGAACTCTGACTCATGGAAAAGTACACAGCGGGAAAAGTTAACTACTATAACTGCAGTCCCAGAAAGCCTTGGGAAGCCAGTCACCCGTCTTTGGCAGACAGACTCTGATAACTCAGTTTGGCGGGTACCAGTAAAGCGAGTGTTTCCTGTGTTCAGATGTATAAATACCCATTGTCCCCCAGGCAGGCTCACCTGGACTTCAGCATTTAGACAGGTGCACACATCAGTCTTGGGCTACTTCCTATCAGTATCCAAGAAGAATGGATTCCGGTACCTTCCTGGACAGTTTTGAGAACCTATGTCGAGTCAGGAAATAAAATCAGAGATGTGCTCGCTCTAGAATTCCCTGTGTTGCTATTCATAGGAAATGAAAGACTCTCTCCTTCCACGTACCCCACCATAGTGGATTCCCTGAGGAAGAGGTTAACAGAACACACACACACACACCCCTCTCTTACAGGAGAAAGAGATGGAGAAGCAGAAAACCCTCTACCAACAAGCCCGGCTGCATGAGCGTGGCGCAGCCGAGATGGTCCTTCAGATGATAAGTGCCAGCAAAGGTGACTTCCGTGGCCCCTGGTCGGGCCTGTGTAACTGCCACAGATAGATTACCCCGTGACAGAGTCATGAACAACTGCCCTGGATAAAGCCCATAGCCAGCTGGGCCCTCTGTTTCCTTGACAACCCAATCGAATCTTCACCACGGCAGGTGAGATGAGCCCCATGGTGGTGGAGACGCTGAAGCTGGGCATCGCCATTCTGAACGGAGGCAACGCTGGGGTCCAACAGGTAATGGGGACGGACGCAGCTGCTGGGGGGGTTCCCATTCGGGAAGAGGTGTGGAATCTGCTGCCAGCCAGAGCCAGCATGGCTGCTGTCTGTCTTTGGTGGCCAATTATCAGAGTAGCCTGCGGGGCAGAGAGAACCAGGGCAAATGCGTGTGGGGGGTAAGAACGTTTTACCCAGAGGTAAAGTAAAAGTGGACTGTTTGGTTTGATCATCGTTACAGCCCTTCCTGCAGAAGCGTGCTCTAGACCAGTGGTTCTCAACCTTCCTAATGCCGCGACCCTTTAATACAGATCCTTATGTTGTGGTGACCCCCAACCATAACATTATTTTCGTTGCTACTTCATCACTGTCAGTTTGCTACTGTTATGAAAGGGTCATTCGACCCCCAGAGGGGTTAAGTGGGGTCGATAATCCCACTCACCTACTACAGAGCTGTAGGTTTGTTCAACAAGGGCTTGCCAATTACCAACCATGCCTAAGGTTCTGATCGAGGGGCTGGGACTGCAGCCCTCAATGCCACCAAGAAAACCTCTGGCTGACTGACATCTTCTCTTCTAAACTAAAGCCAAAGCCATTGCTCTATCAAGTCCAACTCATAACAGCCTTACAGCACAGAACTGCCCCATAGGGTTTCAGGTTTGTGAAGAAGACTGCCACATCTCTCCCCACAGTGTGGCCGATGGGCTCAAATGAAGGAACTCTGAAGTTCTCAACCAGCAAGGCTCCTTACTAACCAAGCTGGTGGCTCCCATGTACCAAGTTCGTAGCCTAAGTCATTCAATTTTCCTCGGCAACATCAAATGCGTCCTCCGAGTAGGAGGAACTTCGAACCATAAATTCCTCAATGTTCCATCAGGAATGAGTGGGTCTCCATAATATACATATGGCCCAGCACCAAGAGATTTTGGTTCAGAGTGCAGGCTGCGGCAGATAGGCCTTTGTTTTGACGCCCACAGGTGATACTGGTACCTAACCAGGAGAGCTGAGGAGCTGACCTGGTCATTTGCCTTTGTCCCATCCTGAGTTGGGAAGGTCAGCATTGGTGGCATAAATAGTTGTCATTGCTTTTCCCTTGCAGAAAATGCTAGATTACCTAAAGGAGAAGAAGGATGCTGGATTCTTCCAGAGCCTTTCTGGGCTCATGCAGTCTTGCAGGTACATATGGGGAAACCACCCACGCCATTTTTCTTAACTCTTCACTATTCGAGGGAAAGGGGAGGAGGGGGCCACAGGATAACAAGCTCATTGGGGAATTATTGAAAGAGGAGTAACCAGCCTGAGGAAGCTACATGGGTAGGGAGTGTTGACCCAGCCTCCGTGGTTGCATTAAAATAGCATGCAGAGGAAATGACATATAACCTCTGTAAGAGAAACAGACATGCACACACACACCCCTGTTGTTTAATACCCTTCCCACCTTTTCTGTTAGGTTGTTTTCCTTGAAGACAAGTAAGCACAATGGGTTTCTCCTTTATCCACATGGAGGAGAGTATGGAGAAAGAGGACATGTGAAGGAGTTTTCTTTTAATTTCATGGAAAAGTCCGATTTTGTTCATGACTCTTTTTAATATATTCAGGCTGTTGAATCGTGTCGTGAATGAAGCGTATGTTAACACTGTCAAAACGGTTTTAAAATTCCAATTGCCTTTCATTGTCATTGACCACAGACGGTCCGAAGCTCCCCCATACCTTCCCGTTCACTGACTCCTGGCTCTGTTTTCATTAGACCCATTAGACACTGAGTTAGTTGTTAACCTCAACACTGCCTCAGCCCTAACGCACATTTGGTGAGCACATCTCTGACACATCCAACTGACACAGATCCAGCCTGACATGGGAGCGTTTGTCATGGTCTGAAAAAATAACGCGTTCCACTTCTCACTTACATGGCCAAGTTGTGTGAACTTCACCTCCTGACCGAACTACGCACCGACAGACAACCATATCTGATCAAAAGTCCTGCATTTGCTCTAGTTGCTCATTTCAGGCAGGAGGAGCCAGCAGCCTTTCTGAGAAAAGGGTCACTGTGAACAGTATCGGAAAACTCCTGGGGACTTTGAATAGTCCGTGAGGCAGAATAAAAGAAATCAAAATGGCCATTAGCAAGTTTGTTTGCTCTCGGCTAATATTCTTGGACACAGGATGTTATGTTTTCCATTTCAAATTGGGGAGAATGGATATCCTTTGTGGCGATGAACTTCATAAGTTTGCTATTCTTATTTCATTGGGTGAATATTGTGCCCTGGAGTGGAAGGGAGCCCATTTGAGCTGCAGGCTGATCCCTGATTCTGAGCTCCATATTGCACATGGAATTCTCGATTACATTTCTAAGAGTTCTCCGGATAGTCTGCAGTACTTAATATTGCTAAGCTCCTTTGTAATGATGATTTGATGGGGGGGGGGGGCAAGTGACATATCTTTAGAGACCAACCTAATTCTATTCTAACACAAGTTTTTAAGATATTGCTCTTTTCTGATTATAAAAACAATCTACTTGTAAATATGTAAGCAGTGGAGAAATTAAAACATTAAAAATGGATATTTCGGGGTGGAGTCGGGTCAGAATGCCTGTTCTACAGACTGTCTCCTGAATCAACATAAGTGCTTCAAAGCAGCTATATAGCCAAAGCCCTCGCTCCCAACTGTCCTCCCTGGAAGCAAACCCAAAATAGAAGGATAGTTTTGTGTTTTTACAACAGGATCTGGGGAAACCTATAAAAAATGGTATCTCCATCTAGGATTGCTATAGCAAAAATATAAATGAAAGGCTTAGCAAACAGTACTTTAGTCTCTGGTGGTATCGGACGCTGGAAATTCAAATTCAGATCACAGGCACCAGTGGAAGCCGTGGTCTCTTGTTGGCTCTGGGAAATATCTTGTCTCCATTCAGTATCTGTGGCTCTGGCATCCCTTGGAGATCCCCATGGATCTTGGCATCAATCTTCCTGTAGGTCTAGGAGGTTCTCAGCTCAGGGACCCAGAGTCCAAAGGACACATCCTGCTCCTACCTTTTCTTTCTTGATGTAGTACAAGGGTCCCTTTCTTTCCTCATGTCTTTCTCATCTCATCTCATCTCCTGTAAGATGAAAGGTGAGCCAGGCTACAGAGCAAGGCAACCCCCCTTACATTGGATCCAGACTGTGACCTGGGTAAAGGTGTTGTTGCATCCCACCCTAATCCCCTTATAACTGATTGGTTGATCACATCAGATCACATCACAGGGATGATCGTACCATACACAGGCTGCCAAATTACACCAATACATCATTGCCAATCCATGAAGGATTACGGTCTAGGCAAGTTGACACATATTTTGGGGAAAAACAGTTCAATCCATTACCATTGGGAATAGGAATTTTCCGTTTTCTCTTTGAAATTCATGTAAATTGCAGAATGTATGTGACTCCCTAAAGGGGAAAGTAGATGCTGGGGCTCCCTCCCCGCTCATTGTCTCTCCAGTCTGACAGCCATTTCCGTTTCCAAGTAGAAGAAGGAGACAACATTGTGCAGAGCCTTAGTGGGCTCAACCATAAACTCCACTAAGAAAGCTTCTTATATTTTATGAGTATTTTCAGATTGGGGAAAGAGTTAAACTCTGCTAGAAAAATAGAATGACTCCAGGTAGGAATTCTATGATCACACAGGGCCCTGAGGATCAGTCTGGGTGTTTGTGCTAGGGCTTCCTGGCTAACTAGGATGTCGTGATCCAATTGATTAGGATGGTTGGTGGAAGTAGAGGACTTGAAATTAAAACCAATCTTTTGCCAGTTCGGGGACACCTGAGACACTCATTCCTGCAGGAAACTATGAGATCAGAAAAGGGCCAGTCCCTTCGAAACCCAGAGGTTTCTGGCCCTCTTTTAGGATTGATCAGAAACACTGAAGATCACAGCCCCTTGTGGTTCTTAGAGAAAGTGGCTACACAGTAGAAGCAAACATTTTTAAGTGCATCTTAAGGTAAACTTGCCTTTGAGAAATCTCAGCGACAGACTGTTTGCACTGTTTTGGTGAGCCTTTGTGTTTCTTCATTCCTCAGGGAAGAGTCAAGGTGGGCAAGCACTAGGAGCATGGGTGAGCCCTCTACGTGCTTGCCGCAAGGTCTGTGAAATGCAGAAACTCATAGACAACCCTGCTCAGCACAAGAGGCTTCAGCAGCTAATACGTTAGTCCATTGTTACATCGTACAAGGACAGGATATTCTCAATCAATAGGTATATGTTAGACATCCACTCTTCCGGTACACACAGCCCTGAACCTTGCTTTCTTTTGTCTGTTAAAAGCGTCCTTGATTTGAATGCATTTGAAAGGCAGAATAAAGCGGAAGGCCTGGGGATGGTTACTGAAGAAGGCACACGTAAGTAGCAAATGAATGTGAAGGTCACTTTCTCCGATTCAAATCCTCATGGCCTCTTTCTGGTTAGAACCCCTGCTCCCTGCTCTTAATGTGCCAGGATTCACTCCCATCCCAGCAAGCACTTCCATTAGCAGCCTTGATAAAGCCAGCCTTTAGGCTGGATGTGTTCATGAGCCTGTTTTAACAAAGGACACGTCACGTTGCTGATGATTTTCTTAACTTTGCATTCTTTTCTTTTTCTCTCACCGCCAGTCATTGTCCGCGAGTGCGGTAAGTTTGAGTTTCTGACCCGAGTTCTGTCATGTGCCGTGACTCCTGAGAAATCTTAGTGAATTGTCTCTGTGCATGTCAGACTGAACGTAGCAGGCTGGTGCTTCATTACAGACATACCTTCCGTCAAGAAAGCATGGGTTATGGGTTATGGACTGTGAACAGCTGCCTGCTGTTTTAATGACAAATGCCACTGGGGTGAAAATGTTCCAACTGGGTTGGGCACAGTGCTTTGCAGCCTCAGTTCAAGTCCCGTTGGGTCTCTTGTCCAAAGGGTCCTTTCCCAACTGTGTGGACCCTGTGCAGTGATTTGCACTGGGAGGTGTTGTGGGTCGGGAAGCCAAGCAAGTGTTCACCAATATTCTGTGTTTTCAAGGTGACAAGGTGCTGCAGAATGACGAGTTTACTCGAGATCTGTTTAGATTCCTGCAGTTGCTTTGTGAAGGACACAACAGCGGTGAGTGGAACTGACGCACCACCCATGCGCAAAATCGGCCTTCCGCTTGGGAAGCGCCAGGGACTAGGACAGGTTGCTAACCCAATACAGTGATCCATCCATGCCTAATCAGAACCCGATCCAAAAAGTCCTTTCACAGCTTGGCCAATGTTATTCCGTGCCACAGAGGCAGCCCTCCTTCCCGAACATTCAGACGGTGAACCTAAACACCAATCCTGCCCGCCACCTCCCTGTGGGCTTGTGACCAGTTGGTGTCATGGGGATGGGAGAGCAGAGGGTGGAGGGTTAGGCAGGTGAGGCTTTGTCCAGCGTGTGTCTCCTCGGAGCTGCTTCTGCATGGCGGAGGTGGACTCTGACCCAGGACCGGTGCTCTCAGATTTTCAGAACTTCTTGCGGACTCAGATGGGCAACACCACCACTGTGAACGTCATCATCAGTACCGTGGACTACCTTCTGCGCCTGCAGGTATGGTGGGGGGCCTTGCAGGGTTAGCATGTCTCACGGACATTTTCAAAAGCTTCGGACAGTTTCACCAGGTCACAGTTAAACTCCGGCAGGGAAGGCCTGTCATCTATGTCCATACCCTCCCGGGAAGTCCAAGGCCCCAAAGGTATCTATGGAGACTAACGGTACCAAGCCATCCGTTGTAAACTCCTGATGTCCTTTAGTTTTGTCAGGGACAAGCTAGCTGGTGTAGCCAAGAGCTACAACACAACCTACGCATAAGGAGCACAGACTTTCCCCAGGTGAAAAACGAGTTAAAGTGACAGGGATACGGGCACCATTTTTCAGTGCTGGAACATCTCTTGGTTTATTTGAAGGGAAATCCAAATTGTGTTGAGAGAATCTACGTAAAAGAGAGAGAGAAACTTTCTCCCTCTGCTGATTCCTCATCTTGGTTCTGCCACTTTCTACCATGTGACTTTGACTCATCCGGTTAACCCCCTGTATTCCAGTTTCCTCGTCTGTACAATGGGTAGGACCAGCCTCCCAGGGCAGTCGTGAAGACTGGACACTTTAACATGTGCAATGTACTCAGAACATGGTTGCAATGTGGCCTCGGATGTTGCCTCGGTCATCACAATTAGTTGGATGATCCTTAACTTTAATGCACGTTTTCCATTATGAAAAAAATGACTGTATATCAGGGCCCTGCCCTTCCCCCACCCCATCCAGCTGAGCACGGTCCTCTCTCCTGTGTGTTCTTTCCTGGGGAGGGATGTTGTTCTTGAAGGATGCTTGGACTCGACTCGGCGATGTCTGCACTCCTCGCCGCGCCCTTTGTTCCTGGCACAGCCAGGGAGTCTCGGACACTCGGGATTCTCTTCTGCTCCTCCTGAACGCTGAGCTTAGCACGTCGCTAACGGAACCCAAAGAAATACTGAACTCTACTTGTTTGTTCTTAGGAATCAATCAGTGATTTCTACTGGTATTATTCAGGGAAGGACGTCATTGATGAATCTGGACAGCACAACTTTTCCAAAGCGCTCGTGGTCACCAAGCAGATTTTCAATTCCCTCACAGAGTATATCCAGGTCTGTATTACAGAGAGCATGCTGGGGTCTAAGACGTTCCCACAGAGAACATTTTTCATCATTTCATAATATATCAGAGGCTTTCAAAGGGTTCGTGGAAAAATTCCATTAGCTTCTAATTCCATTTTCTCCACAAAATTTTGACACTCCACCCACCACCACAAATACAGATTATTTGGTTGCTCAGAGTAGATGATCCATCTGCTCTTAATGCAGACAATGTTTCTTTCATCTCTATGAAGAGGGAACAATAGTACCTAAACTCTACCAGAAACTTTAGCTCACAGCCTCCCACTGTGGCTTTGTTCATAATTGACCTTTAACTAGTTACATTTTGAGTAGCCTAAGTGTGGAGTATTTGAATAGCCTCGTATTGAGCCGTTAACCACAAAGTCATCGGTTCAAACCCACTGGTTGCTCCTTGGGAGAAGGATGAGGCTAACGGCTCCCATCAAAATATAATGTCTTGGAAACCCACAGGGGCCTTGCTGCTCTGTCCTCCAGGGTCCCTATGAGCTGGATCGACCGACGACAGGGAGTTCAGTTTGGTTTGGGGGCTTACATTTTGCTTTCCAGACTAGATGGAAAATTTTTAGAGGCCAGGAAGTCTCCTGTACGTGTAAATTTTACTTATATAGGCAGCACAATATACTTCATAGAAGTTCAGTAAAGGCTTGGTCTTAGGGGAAATGATTTTGATAGAAGAAGGGCTAAGTGATGTTGAGCCTTGAGAGTTGTTTTTGTTTTTAAGACATTCATGAGATATTCACTGCCATCAAGCCAATTCTGACTCAAAGCAACCCTACATATCAGGACAGAGCTGCCCCGGTGGGTTTCTGAGACTTGTCCAGAAGTAGAAAGCCTCATATTTCTCCTCAGGGGTAGCTGGTAGTTTCAGACTGCTGGCCTTGTGGTTAATCAAGCCCCATGCATAACCATTACACCACTGGGGCTCCTCGTGAGATCATATTAACCAGAAATTCGGTATAGAAAAGGCAATTTTGGAAGCACATAAAGTATGTGTAATGGAAATCAAATAAATCTTAGGTAGATTTCGAGTTGAATTTCTAGATCTGGTCATCTCTGTTCCTTGCCAACCACAGTGCAACTTCTGTGAAAGGGGCAAACGATGTCTCCAGGCCTCGTTTACTAGTCAGTCCAAACTCGGTAGCCACATCACCACCTTGTATGATGTAACACAAGGGTTTTGTTTTTTTTAAGTAAAAGTAACACTTGATCCCCCAATTATCACACTCAGATGACTCATTAAGAAGACTTTCCCCTTATTTATTCATTAATTCTACAAAACTCCCTTCTTACATTCTGTACTATGGTTCATGGAAAGACGTAAGCCTTTCAGCAGCTTATAATACAACAGTCAATGCATATACACGTGAAAAGTATATGATACCAAAGGATCACACACGGTGTAAGATAACCGTACATAGTGTACTGAAGTAGATTGCCACCGAAGCACCTTATGACATGCTCAGCCGTGGTCTGTGAGTGCAGAGGCTGGAAGGGTCCTTAGGAGCTGAGGGGCACCGAGTCTGTGGGCATGTGGGCTGTGGCCGGTTACGGAGGAGGAAGTACACTCTGGGTCTGTCCTTTGGGACCATTGCAGAGATAGGACGCTGCATGGCTTCAGGAGGAAGACAGAATGTCAGCCATCGGATCACTTTTGCTGAAAGAGAGTCCAAGCAAGGAATGAAGTAGGGACTAGTTCACCCCTATGCTGTCCATCTTTAGTCCTTTCCCAACTAACACTCTTGTTCCAAAAGGATGGCTGTGTTTAGTGGTTCTTTTTACAGGTGAGGTGATGGGCCTGATACTGATCCGTTGAAAGGCAAGACAATCGCATCTAACTAGAGATCCATTAAGATATGCCAACTGGTACAGTCAGGTCACATGTGCTCATTAACATAATCACGGAACCACGACTATCCATTTGAAAAAGAGGACTTACGTGAAGGGATGGACCCCTGTCATTTGGGCACTGTAAGGACACGGACAGAGCCAGCCATGCACAGGACCGGCGAGCCTCTGCTCGGCTCTCTGGGCAGAATTCGTCCGGCTTCTCAGAATTTACTAGGGAGTACTTACTTCAAAAGTACAGGATAGTTTTTGTCTTAGTCAATGTGAGCTTCTTTCAACAACTGATTTTGTTCCCAGAGAATCTCTTGGCTTTTAGAGGCCATCTTTCTGAATGTACATGAGCAACACTTTTTAAACAAGCTTTCCCTACCTGAGGGTGCCGGCACAGATCACTCTTCTCCATAGTCTCCAGATCCCATTTAGAGCCCACTTAATCGAGATCCATGTAGAGATGGATTAAAGAAAGGGTTGCTATTAAGTGCTGTCTGGTAAACTTTGACTCACACCGACCTCATGGAACAGAGGAGAACTTCCCTCCTGAGTTCTCTGTGCTATCTCTCGTCTTTTGGGAAATAGATCACCAGCTATGAATCCTAACCAATTGCTGGGTGGTTGGAACTGCCAACTCTTCCGTTAGCAGCAGCGTATGTACCTGTTTCACTGCCAGGGTCCCTTGATGAAACAAAGAGAAAAACTGTCCATAAGAGAGTGGATTCTCCATCATCACCCAGGAGATTCTTGGTACAACTTCTCTGTGCGAACACCTCCCCGCTCACCAAAAACGAAAGAGTTGAGGTTAATAAGTGATAGCTCAGTAATCTTCAGTCATGAAAAAGGGTGCTGAACATGGAAAGTGGAAACTGTTGATTAAATCCTCCCTCTCTGGCTTTCAGAACAGAGGGGGGAATAGCTTATACCTGAAATGTCGGCTACTGATAAGAAAAACTTAGCAGTTGAAGTCTAAGAGGATTGCATAGGGTTTTTTTTTTTAATTGAGTAGATTTCTTTTTAATTGAGTAACTTCTACAGATAGTTTGAGACATGGTTTTCAAATTGTGTCCCATGGAATCCTTGAGTCTCTCAAAAGCCCTCTTCAGCCAGCGTGTAGGTGAGGGCAGTCAGCAGGGTACTGTTCCTAATGTCATGCTTCAACGCAAGACTTCATTTAAGGAAAGCACTCTGAGGCCGAAAGAAACGCCTTTATCATCGCTGGACTGTGGAACAAAGCCTTGGTGGGTCTTCTAGACGTAGGACATATCAGGGGGAAAACTGCGCTCAAGAAGTGTGTCTTGGGGAGGCGTGGTCTGGGTCCGTGCCTCGGGGACAAGGCCTCCGGGAAGGCAGGCTGTAACACAAGGCGGTGCTCCTTCCACAGGGCCCTTGCATTGGGAACCAGCAGAGCCTGGCTCACAGTAGGCTGTGGGATGCAGTGGTCGGCTTCCTCCATGTATTTGCTAACATGCAGATGAAACTCTCTCAGGTACTGTGGCCCGTCCTCTGCCCGTGTCATTGCTAAGTCGACCCCCAGCCCCCTTGGTATTCCTGTTTGTGGTGTGGCTGCTGGGCCAAAAGGCTGGAAGCGCCATATGGATTAGGTCTCAGCCTTGAAACGAAGGACCAAGATGGGAGATGAGGAGTGAGTGGTTTGGAGGAGTGGGGTTGGGGGTGGGTCCCAGACAGGCTTTTGCATGAATGTGGCTTCCTTCCATGTGTCTACCAACCTGCCCTGTACCTCACTGCCTTCACACTTGCTTTTTACATGGCTAATTGTTTCTGCTTCCTCGTGCTGTTCTGTCCTTTATAACCTAACTCTGTGCACCACCACCACCACCACCCCGCCCCCTCTTCAGATCTGCCAAAGGCCTGCATGTCTCCATAACCCATTTGTCCTTCTCTCTCACCTGTGGGTCCCTCTCCTTCTCACTCCCCATCTCTCTGGCAAGATGAATCAGAGTCGCTCAGAGCCTTTAAGAGGAGCGAGCAAATGCAGCGAGCGCAGTTGTCGGTCGCCTCTCTCCATGGCAACACATGAGGGGGAACTTCAGGATGTGTTTCAGGCTGATTAGAGTAACATTCGCAGCATTAATTTAAATCACATGTCTCTCAAATTCTCCAGGCTGTCACACCTGCCTCTCTTCTGGAATGTGCTGTTTAACCCTTTCATTTTTCCCCTTTTGACTCTGGCCTTATGGGAGGAGAGAGCTCCTGGGTGGGTGCCCAGTGGGTGGTGGCAGGTGTACTCCTGTCTCAGCCAGGGCGGTGTGGCAGGGAGGCTCAGAGTACCAGAGTGCTGGCCCTGCCACCTCCCCAGATAACACAGAAAGCCACGTCGTTATCTTTCTAGACCTGAGTGTCGTCAGTTATAAGATGGAGAGGTAGGATGCAGGACCTCCGAAGTCTCGTCCAGTTCTGACCTAGTCTCTGTTTTGTGTAGCGCCATGGCAGAAGTCATGGGGTGGGAGGAAAATCCCCCTGAAATCCGAAGGACTAGGCTGAGATTGGTGTCTTTTTGAGTGAGCGTCTGTCAAAGGTGGCCCAGAATGCATTTTCCAGCCTCACCTTCAGACGCCCGCCTCAGCTCCCCAAAGACCGTTTCCCCTCTAGGACACACAAGGTGTGATGTCCAGCACTAACTTGGCAGTGTCCTGTCCTCACTGCTGAACTTAAAGCCAGACAGACTGGTATGAAAACCATCCAGCCGAATAGCTCAGATTCTATGACATTTTAAGGGACCAGCAGCACCCAGATCACCACCAGCTAGAATCAATCCAGAAAGAAAGGAGAACCCACTTGGTGACTCTAACGCTGACACCACCATCAGGTTACTGTACTACGGTATCCCGTAACGCTCACTGTCTAACTGCCCAGGATAGAAAACGATAGCACACTAGTCAACATCATTGGGACCACAATGGGTCTATCTGCTGCACTGTGCTAAGGAAAGGGACAATGGCCAGGGGCTCTGCTGGATGTGTCTATGGGATGAGTCCTGCTTCCGTGACTTTTCTCATGGTTACAAACAGTGGCTAAGCCATCCTCACCCCCGCTGAGAAGGGAGCTCACTCCTGAGACGGACGCTGCCTTCTAACCTCTCCAGAGCAGGCTCTTCTTGCTCCAACTGGCCTGTACTTTGCTGAGGAATCAGATAGCTCAGGGGTGTCTCCTGTTTCTGTTCTAGGATTCCAGTCAGATCGAGCTGCTGAAGGAACTCTTGGATCTCCTTCAGGACATGGTGGTGATGCTTCTGTCCCTCTTGGAAGGTTGGGCTGTTTGGTATAACTAGGCATTCACACAACTGTGCATTGGTCTGAGCAGTAACCCTACTAATCATGCAGATGATCCTTCTGGCAGGTCATTTTTACCATATCACAGTGGTTAGAAAGCCAAATTTTCAGAAACAAAAAAAAAGTGTACAAAGCAACTCATTTGCTGTCGATAGGAAAGCCAGAATGAACTGGGGAAAATCTCCAAGCTTCGCTCTTCCCTCTCCGCTCCCTCTCCCCATTGCTTCTCAGTACATCTGGCTGCCGGTGTGTATGCCAGCCATCTAGTTGGGCACCCTCCTAGGTCTAAGGGGACGAGAGGGCTACCACTAATCCCTGTGTGTCCCCAATAACCAACGAAGGAAACCACCACCCAGGCCCCATGCCAAATAAAAGGCAGGGCTGTGGCCCTTTCTCCCCCCTTGGCTCGTAGTGGTGAGTCTTTCTGGCTTGCTGCGCCCTCTTACCCGTTTCCAAATCTTCCTGGTCAGAAGAGAGCTGACTAATTTGGCACCTAAGTGGTCTAAGAAATAGCTTTCCTATGCCATGCTGACTTGGTTTTATTTATCTGTGCGTATGTCTCTTTTGAACCTGCCTCACAGGGAATGTGGTAAATGGAACGATTGGCAAGCAGATGGTTGACACACTGGTAGAGTCATCTGCCAATGTAGAAATGATCTTGAAATTCTTTGACATGTTCTTGAAACTTAAAGACTTAACCAGCTCGGAAACCTTCAAAGAATATGACCCCGATGGTAAAGGGATTATCTCCAAAAAAGAATTCCAGAAGGCCATGGAAGGGCAAAAGCAGTACACGCCCACAGAGATCGACTTCCTCCTCTCGTGTGCAGAAGCCGACGAGAATGACATGTTTAATTACATTGATTTCGTGGACCGGTTCCATGAGCCTGCTAAGGACATCGGGTTCAACGTGGCCGTGTTACTGACGAATCTTTCGGAACACATGCCCAACGATTCTCGTCTGAAGTGCCTGTTGGACCCGGCAGAAAGCGTGCTGACTTACTTCGAGCCCTACCTGGGGCGCATCGAGATCATGGGAGGGGCCAAGAAAATCGAGCGCGTGTACTTCGAGATCAGCGAATGCAGTCGGACGCAGTGGGAGAAGCCCCAGGTGAAGGCGTCGAAGCGCCAGTTCATCTTTGATGTCGTCAACGAAGGCGGGGAGCAAGAAAAGATGGAACTGTTTGTGAACTTCTGTGAGGACACCATCTTTGAAATGCAGTTAGCATCGCAGATCTCGGAATCGGATTCCGCTGACAGACAGGAGGAGGAGGAGGAGGAGGAGAAGCAGGAGGAAAAAGAGAAGGGGGAGGGGGAGGAAGATTCCCGCACATCAGGAGTGGAGAGCGATGAGGAGGAAGATCCCTCCTGGGAGTCTGCGTCGGCATTTGCCATGGCCTGTGCCTCCGTGAAGAGACACGTGGCCGGGGGTCTGAAGAGGGCAACGCGGACGAATCTCAGGAAGCAGTACAGGAAGGTCAAGAAGATGACCGTGAGGGAGCTGGGGAGAGTGGTCTCCTCGTTCTTCTGGATGTTGTTCGTGGGGCTCTTCCAGGGGTTCTTCGCCGTCTTGGGAGGAGTCTTTCAGATCCTCTGGAACACAGTGTTTGGAGGGGGCCTGGTCGAAGGGGCCAAGAACATCAGAGTGACCAAGATCCTGGGGGACATGCCTGACCCGACTCAATTTGGGATACATGATGATGTTATGGAAGCCGAGAGGGCAGAAGTGACTGAGCCAGCTGTCACCACGGAACCAGGGCACTTCGGAAAGGGGGTGAAGGGTGACGTGGAGGTCATGTCCGATCTCTTTGGACTCCACTCAAAGAAAGATGGCAGCGTCAAGCATGGGCCCGAAGTAGGTTTGGGGGACCTCTCTGAGATTATTGGCAAGGATGAACCCCCTACCTTAGAGAATACTGTGCAGAAGAAAAGGAAAGCGCAGGTAAGTGTGATGTGTTTTTATCTTTCTTTGTCCCGGGGAAAATGCTTGCAATCAGTACTGGCACCAACGGAACAGGAGGCAGCATTCCATTAGACACCAGCCCGGCTTTGATGGCCCTCCCCTTGTAATTCCTGCTGTCAAGTCTCGGGAGAGGAAGGCTCTAGTGAGTGGTCTTCCAGGCGACACTGTAGAGTTCAGTCGGGGTGGTCAGTGGCCCACATATTGCTTCCATAGATACCTCTATTGTAAGGTTACTTCTAATGATGCACCAACTCGTTCAGTGAATGGAAAGCACAAGAAGTGAAGTATCGCTGGAGTTCTCCTTCCTTGGGGCCCAGTATGTGTGCAGCGTCTTTAAAGTCAAGATGCTATCAGATGATTTCATGCAGCCTCCCAGAGAATTTCATCGTGCTCAGGCCGCTGTTCTTCCTGTGACCTGCCTGCTGTCTGCTTTGCACCTAGAGTCCATCAACCAGATGAGGTGACTTGGATCGAAGTCCCTCAGCAGCCCTTGGTGACACGAGGCTGTGGGTATTCCCCTCTTGTGGCATCCAACCCAATAGGGTCACTTTGGCACCAAAAGGTCTGAAGGAAGTGTGAGATGATAGCCCAAAGAGAGCCTTTATTCCTTCCACTGGTATTTACTGAGTACACGCTCTGTCTGTCGCCATTTCAAGCTGAGAGAATACAGGGATGAATGAGAAGTGCGCGATGCCTGGTTGACTGGAAAAGGTAGACATGAGACAAGTGTGCAGGCAGTTCCGAAGGAGAAATGTCAGGTTCTCTGCCAATGTGACAGCTCTCACCTAGGCTGGAAGACCAGGGCAGGAAGCACCAGCTGCACGGACATTATTACGGTAGTCGTTGTTTTGGTCTCTGATGTAGTGCCAGGGCTCTGAACAGAGTTTGACGCATAGCAGGCAGTCATTGGGCAGTGACGTGTACCACATTGCAGTCGAGGACTCCAGGAGCCCGGGGACTAGGGGGTGAATTCAAGAGTTTTACTTTCTTGGAGCTTAACTTCTAGCAGAGAAGACCGCGAACAAATAAAATAGCTATCATTTGGGATGCATAATAAATGAGCAAGACGATATTTTGCAGACTGGACAGGAGCCATCCAGGAGGCCCGTGAGGCGGTGTCCTCCGGTTTAAGTGCTGAAGGATAATGTGATAGGGATGTCACATTCCAGGCAGAATGTATGGCTTGGGGGAAGAGCTGGAGTGTCCCAAGAAAGGAAAGGCGAGCTGAGTGTTTGGGTGCGGGAGATGAGTGAAGTGATACGAGATGAGGCTGGGACCGTATCATGCAGGACTTGTATGTTTTGGTTCAGGAGGTGGAATTTTACTCTACATGAAGTGCAGTTATCCAGAGGAGTTGCCATGGTGACAGGAAAACTGTAGGCAAGGCAGCAAGCCTGTCAAATGGAAGCAGGCTCTCCATTGGAAAGATCTGTGTTGCCTCTCCCTGACCCCAGGGAGCAGTAGGACCACCGCCATGGGGCTCTCTCAACGCCCTAGCCCAAGGTTTACCTTTGTGTTGAACAATAGGGCATCTGACTCTTTGTCTTGACATCTGCCCATAATAGCTCGATATATAGCAGGACACCGATGCAGAGAGAGAGAAAGCCATTGGGACTTATGACCCAGAAGAAATGGCTACGATATGGGTCGTCATCATGAGCTCACTTCTTTGTGGACATCTTAACTGATTGATTTTTGTCTAGGTGGCAGAGCTGAAAGTCCGTGAAGCAGAGGGCAAGGCAGAGTCTGAGAAAGCAGAGTAAGTAGTTGACGACATCTCGGATTCTGACTGTTATGGTAGTCTGGCAATATGGATGGATAGCATCTATTATTTCATGGCTGTCCTTGATTTCTGTTAGTACAAGGAATTGACGTTGTTCAAGGCCTGGGAGTATTTCTTTTTAACCTCAACTATATAATAAACACGTTGCCAAGGTGTGCGGACTATAGCAACTATGTACTGTACTTAACTCACACGTCTAATAAGAGGTCAGCATTTCACCATCTGGCAAAACAAATGATCAGACACCTACAGTTAGCACCTGCATATCCTGACTCACGGTGATGGTGTCTGATATTTACTGTATTACGTGCCACGCCCTGCGCTCAAGCTCTTTAGACACCATCTCAGTTAAGAGTGCCCACCAGTATTACCTTGCAGGGACAACAGTAAACAGCTGACTGCTAACCAAAAGGCTGGCGGTTCAAATCGACCAGGTAAGTGCTCTGCAGGTGAAAAGATGTAGCCATCTCCTCTGTCAGCACTGCAGTCTAAGAAACCCTGCGGTGCGGTGCCATTGATTCAGGGTCCCGAACAACACGAGCACCACAAGCCTAGTAGACTAGGTGGTATTGTTTATTCCCATGGAGTCTTAGAAAATAAAACTATTCTGGAGATGGGGGTGAAACACACACACACGTCCTGATTTCAGAAGTGCAGGCTTGTATATAATGTATACAATGACCAGGTTTCATCAAAACGGTCACTTCTCATCAACTCCAATTTGCCTTCCAAACACTGTGGAGGTGGTAGAGCCCTTCTCTGGAGGAACAACTACAGCTGCAGTCGCAATGAGTCATAATGAGCCCTTATGGTGCAGCCTTCTCTTTCATTGGGATCTCCCTGTCTGGGCCAGACCAAGCTGTCCTCACCCGCTGAGGGGCTCTCTCCTCCCCGCAGCATGGAAGATGGGGAGAAGGAAGACAAAAACAAAGAGGAGGAGCAAGCTGAGTACCTTTGGGCAGAAGTGACAAAGAAAAAGAAGCGGCGGCGAGGCCAGAAAATTGAGAAGCCTGAAGCCTTCATGGCCAACTTCTTTAAAGGGCTGGAAATCTATCAGACCAAGCTACTGGTGAGTTCTAGCCCTAGCCCTCCTCCTGCCATGCAGACGCTGAGCAGACCTCCGAGAGGCAACCCCTCCTTTCAGTTCACCATTTGTTTGATTATACTTCATCCTCGTTCTCACTCTTTCCCCTTCACCATTTACTTCCTGTCTTAGTGTGTGGGAGGAGGGGATAACAAACAAACCGCGTTTCCCTGGTCCTCTGGTCCAGCAGCAGGTGCCCTCTCTGACCTATTTTCCCGCCTAGTTTATGCTTTGCGTGCTATATGGGGCATGTGCTGGTGCTGTAGGGTAAACATTGGGCTCCTAGCTGTAAGTTCTGTAGTTCAAACCCCTCTGCTTCACTGCAGGAGAAAGATGAGGCTGTCTGCTCCCATAAAGATTTACAAAGCTTTTGAAAATAATGATGGCAACATATGTACAAATGTGCTTAATACAGTTGATGTATGGATTGTTATAAGAGCTGTAAGAGGCCCCCCCAAAAAGATTAAAATTTTAAAAATAATTTTTAAAAATTACAAAGCTTCAGAAACCCTATATAGGATGGCCAAGAGTCAGAATTGACTCTAGAAGGATTTAATGATTTTGGATGCAAAATTTTCTTTGTTAGGCTTCCACGCTAGTTCCCTAAAGCTTGATTAGCCCCATGCAATCAAGCCTCGGTATAGTCTGTTACTTTCCTTGATAAAAGCCCACTGAGGTTCAGCTACGGACATCAAGACTATGTCTCTCCTGGCCACCGTTAGGAAACGACCCTCCACGAATAGATTGGGAACCTGCACACACAAGCTACCATTCCTGGCTCTGAGTAGTAATGTTTCAGAGCGCAATGGCAGTGAGCATGGGAATGCCTTCCTCTCCCAACCCCTTCCCCTGCAGTTCTACCAAGGGGGGAATATAGGCTCTCGGGCTGGGAGTTAGAGACGAAGACTTGGGGCCTCCATTTAGCTGTGTGCAGAGTGGGAGCTACAGGGCTTAGCTCACCCAGTTGCCAATAGACTTCCCTGCGTGGAGTGGTCATTTAAAAGCACAGACAAATGGCAGCCTTTGTAGCAGTGTTTCAGGCCTCTCTGCTGGCAGCATGTTTAGACATTTGGACTCCCTGGGGGATGAGTGGGGTCCTCAGAGCAGCATTCTAAGCTTTTAAAAACACGAAACGAAAAGAGTGCTTACCAAGAATAGGACTAGGTCTGGGTACACGTCCACCAGAGATGTGTTGTGTAGAGAAGATAGGTTTCTCTTCCGTGCAAAGTTCTTTTACTTCTGCCTTTCCTTCTCTTTGCAGCATTACCTGGCCAGGAATTTCTACAACCTGAGGTTCCTGGCTCTGTTTGTAGCCTTCGCTATCAACTTCATCCTGCTCTTTTACAAGGTGATGCTTGACTCAGGGGTTATTTGCCAAAGTAGCAAAGCTATCGCAGAAGTTGTGTGCTTCATGCTACTGCCCATGGACATTTCTAGGATGTTGGTTTCTGAAAGAGAGCCTTCTGGCAGCACAAGCCAGTTTGGAGGGGCTTTGGTTTTAATAGTCTGCACTTGCTCTTATTCTTTAATTCCATCTGCAAATATTTCTTGACTGTCAATGAGGGTCTAGACCCTGTGTTATAACTATGAGGTGTTTCAAAATGAATAAAAATAGCCCTGTCCTTGAGGACTTTGTAATGGAAAGTCATCCTAGTCGGCATATACCGTTACGAAAGAAGAATTAACGAGGGATTGGTAACTCAGTGTAGGAAGAGAAGACAAATTGAGATCAATGAGGCTTTCAAATGTTGGCAACCGGTTATTACACATTGTGGATGCATAATGCATGTCAGTGATGGAATGAATGGCAGACTCTGAATTTCTGACATGGTCTTTATTAGCTAGCTTAGCTAAAACTACCCATCTGACTTTTAGACAACACTGTCTTAATCACTTCAGCCTTGCATTCAAGGTTAAGTTTTTTAGCTGCCCATGAGTCTGGAGGGCGAGAGCAGCCAGGTTTGGTTTTCCACATACAGAGGTGAAATGACTGTGCAAGCTATCCAGGTGGAGGTGACCAGTAGGCAGTAGGAGCTGCAGGATCAAAGTGGTTGAGGGGTAGGTTGGGGGTCATCTACATAAGCATGGAAGATCTCTCGAATGCGAACATAAAGGTCTGGGGTCCAACCCCACCAGCTGCTCTGTCAGAGAGAGCGGCAACAGTCTGTGTGTGTAAAGAGAATGCAGTCTTGGGAAAACTGCTCCAAGACAGTGGGTTTGGTTATACAAGTAGGGTAGTTGAAACCCTAGTGTAAGCGGTGTATCAGAACGGAAAATGTGCTGGTCCTTCGTGTGTGTGTGTGTGTGTGTGTGTGTGTGTGTGTGTGTGTGTGTGTGTCTTAGCCGCAGCTCTCTCAGAAAGTACAGCCTTTGGCATAGGGACCACAGCATGTGTACAAAAGCGGTCCACATTTTCCCTTTTCCTTCAATAGATCCGTTTGGGATCGCTTTAAAATGTAATTTAAATTGCAATTCTTAGACATGCCTAATAGTAATGAGTTACCTCAGAGGCATTTATTCAGCAATGTTGAATAAATTGCACAGTCTGTGTTACAAAATCTGTAGGGAGAGCCCTGTGGCTGCAGGCTCATTCCGATACCTAACATTTCGTTTCTGTCTCGAGCCAGGTCACCGAGGACCCTTCAGAAGAAGACCCGGAGGATGCTGCAAATCTGTGGAATTCCTTCACCGACGAGGAAGAGGAGGAGGCGATGGTGTTCTTTGTCCTGCAGGAGAGCACTGGTTACATGGCTCCGACGCTGCGGGCCTTGGCCGTGGTCCACACCGTCATCTCCTTGGTCTGTGTGGTGGGCTACTATTGCCTGAAGGTGAGTACTGGCCACTCTGCATCTGATCAGATTTCTTAAGGATGAAGCATCGAATTTGACCCTGGCTGTCGCTTTGTCCTCAAGCACCTTCTCAGCAAAGACAGTTCCCAGAGCAGCAGCACCTGGAAGGTGGCTAGAAACACAGACCCTCAGGCCCCGTCTTGATCATTTAGGTCAGGATCTACCATTGTCAGAGCCGCTGGGAACCCCCATGTTCATGTGCAAGGCTTGGAATCACACCTCTTGAGATTCATAGTTCACCCTTTCAAAATTTGTTATCACTTTCTGAGATATCCAAAGAAAACTTATTAGTGAGTTTCTATTTTGATTACCTATTGAGACCTTAAACACCATCCCCAAAACATAGTAGCTTAAGACGATAGCTATCTTTGGACTGGCTTGGCACCCTGGGCAGTCCTTCGGCATGGGAAGGTAGTTGAGGCTGAAGTCATCCAGGAGTCCAACTGAGGTGTCCAAGATCTGAGGCACACTCCTGTACCTGACACCTTGGCAGGGCGGGTCCAGGTGGTGTCGCTGGACCCCTCTCCCTGGGTAGACGCAGGCATCTTCCTCCATGTGGCCTCAACAGCAGTGCCGTTAGACTTTTGATTTGATAACACAGGATTTTAAAAAAAGGATCGGGGGTGGGATGGAGACATAGAGTCTGCTAGTCTTTTTCAAGGCTTAGGCTCCGAACTAGAAACTAGTGTCACTTGTACTGCACTCTGTGAGGTAAAGCAAACAGATTCATTATTGCCTAGTAGATTGGAGGAGACTGGATGACCAGTTGGCCATGTCTGAAGAAGACTGCTAGTCATGTCTTCACTTAATTCTTGGTATTATAAATGCAGTTGTCTTTGTCACAATAGCTTTTCTAAAGCATCGCCTTGGTTATACACCATCTATCAAACCATTTTCTTCCTGGGAAGAATCCAGGAAATAGACTTCTGTCACTGTAGAGCTCACTTCTACTAGTGACGATATATAGACCATTCAGTGAATCTGCCCCAAAGATTGTGCTCTAAACTACCCTGAAAAGAAAAACCCAACAAACATACACATGCATACTGAGGACTCCATTATATTAAGGCATGGGTTGTAGAACTAAGGTACCTGTGTGTTAGACTAGCACCAACCCTATGGAAGTGTTGGAGACCACATAGCTATTACTCCTTCATTCACAGGCCTGGAACTCAGCTAGCGGGATGCAGATTAGACCTAAAGAAGAAAAATGCAGAAGGTCTACTTCGAGGGCATCCCAAATCCTAGAAGATTGAAGGAGCTGCTCTGGGGCCCTGAGATCGGCACTGTTTCAACTATTTTAGGATAGTCTGTCCTTTCAAATCTTAGTCAACTCCAGCATAGGACACCCAAATCATTTGACTCTGGGATTGATTTGTGGAAAGAGGACCTTCTCAGTAGGATTACCGAAGATGTCCAGTTTATATTAGTACTGAATATTTACCCCAAACCACAAAGAGTGGCCCAAAGAATCAGATGAGCCAAAGGAGTAAGACTTTGATTTAGGCCTACAATTAGCCCCACCCCCCCAAAAAAAACCTTAATCTGGCCCTGAAGTTAAAAGGTTAATTTGTTATAGGCCTGGGAGGCTTACCTCAGAAAAGCCTTCTGGAATAACCGAGTCGTCCATTGTAGGTCCCGTTGGTGGTATTCAAGAGAGAAAAAGAAATTGCCCGGAAGCTAGAATTTGATGGCTTATATATCACTGAACAGCCATCGGAAGATGACATTAAGGGCCAATGGGACCGACTGGTAATCAACACACCGTAAGTGTCCTTCCCCGTCCCCAAAAGGAGCGCCTACTCTTTCCTGGCCAGCTTTGAAAACTGATAAACCCTACTGTATTAGTCTGTGTTGACTAGAGAAACAAATTCATAGATACTCACGTGTATAAGAAAGAGCTTCATATATACAAGAGCAATTGAATATTGAGAAAACTCAGCCTAGATCAAGTCCATAGGTCTGATATTAGCCCACATGTCCAATACGAATCTAAATTCCTATTCAGACTCACGCAGCACATGCAATGTCGCTGAATGTGGGAAAGTCATGTGGATCCAGTAGCAGTGTAAGCATCTCAGCACTAGCCGGGGTCTCCACATGGCTCCTTCAGCTCCAGGGTTCTAGCATAGCTCCATGTGTCTTGTCAACAGGAATGTCTGACAGGGAGTGTCTGTGTGTCCTGCCTCCAGCAAGCTATTTATTTCCTTAGTGCCTCCAAATGAGGTCATCAAGCTGCAACCTGATTGACAGGCTAAAACTCCACCCCTTCACTCTTAAGCCTCAAGTTGACAACAGATTATGTAACTACCACACCTACTTTGGTTTCTGGGAGCATTTCTCCTAAGAAATCCCCTGGGCAGTTAAGATCTCCACCCAGAGGGTCCTGTTTTAAGACCTGTAGATAAGCCTTCCTGGTATGCACATTGATTCGAGAAGCAGAGTTAAACTACCGTTAGCTCAGCTATTTAGTGGACAGTGAAACTTGTGCAAGGTATTTATACTTGCTAAAGGCCTTGGCTCACTCACTGGTAATAAATACCGTCTCCTGAAGTTCAGGGTAGATTGAAGAATGCTGTATTTTTAATGCAAAGAACCAGGTGTTAGACTGCGGTTCTTTGTTGGCATGCTGTTATATGCAGACGTCTGGTGCTGTGGAGTGCTGGCCTGCAAGCTGTTCCTGCTTCCCTTTCTCCCAGCCATTCAGAAGGGGGACATACCATTAGCAAAGGTGCTGGGTGCTCTCAGGTCACTTCATGCACAGTTGTGAAAATCAAAGTTGCCCATGCCGCAAGACGGCCAGAAGCAGCAGCCCCCTAGGGGGAGGAAAGATAGAGCAGGCCTCTGCCAGTCTCTTTACTAAAGGAAAACAAGGAAACCTACTATGCTTTGTTTCTATTAGGTTAATTCCTTTGTAACCTTATCCTAATGCTTGGGTCAATGGCAAAAAGCTATGTATCCTAAGAAGATAATGATGAGTCCTTTTGTAAGAGGTACACATAACTGAATGGGATGGCTAACTTCAATATTTAGGTAGAACCCCCTTTGTGTGTGTGCGGTATCTTCGTACATACAGTGCTTTCTCTATCAAGCGCAGGCCATGGGATAGCTTCCTCCCATTGTCGTACAGTTAACCATACAGATAGATGCACATGTAAAATCTTGTGTGTTCATCTAGAGGATAAGAAACAGCCACCCCGCCGAAGGCTTCCGTCATCCCCACCCTGACATTATTGCGTCACGCTGTTCATGCTTCTCGTTTTACCCCAGCAGAACGAGGTGTCTCAACCCAGTTTCACGTAGTCTATTTAAACTTTACTTACATATACCATCTCACCAATTGTGTGCCCAACGGTGTTTGGGAATCCCTCCAGGCTGGACTTCAGTGGGCAGAACAGACCCGGCCTCTTTTAACTCGTCGGGTTGTATGCCTGGATGGCTAGACTTCCCCTTCTTCCTTTCTTTTTCAGCTCTTTTCCTAATAACTATTGGGACAAGTTTGTCAAGAGAAAGGTATGCCTTGTCAACGTGGGTAAGTTCTGTGGCCACTGTACTGGGGTTTGTCTTTTTGGAAGTTCCCCATAAACAGACCTTAGCAAACTCGATGTGACTTTGTCCTGGTACCTTCTCCAGAAGCGTGTCACACAAGGGGTTGTATGTAAACACGTGTAGGTTCCTGGCTTCTTGCCTAGTCTAGCCTGTCAGAAGTGGTCTCGCTGGACCATTGTCATTCTCTGCAGCCTGTGAATTCTCTCACCTCCAAAAGGATACAAAAATACCAGCATAACACGTGGTTTGCATTTTATCACTTCTCATTTTCCCTGGGGCCTTTTCAAATCGTGCCTGAATTCCTTAGAGGACTTGAGTCAAGCCCCGAACTCACACTGTCATCCTCTGCTACAGGTGATCAACAAGTACGGCAATCTCTATGGAACAGAACGCATTGCTGAACTCCTGGGACTGGACAAAAATGCCCTTGATTTTAGCCCCGTGGAAGAGACTGTAGCGAAGGAGGAGGCTTCTCTGGTGTCATGGTACAGAGCTCAGGGGTTCAAAAGCCTGGCTAACGTGGATCTTTTGCTTTCGGGACACTAGACTATTGCCCCCAGGGCCCTTGTTTTCAATGATCTAAAGACCTAGTGAAAAATTTGAAAATGTTTCTCAGAAGGAAACATAACTTGAAGGTCAGAGGCATATTTAGATTATTAAACCCTTAACTAATTCTTGACATTTATAAGTCCTTGGTTTCTCCACCCCCAACCCGCCCCCCTTTTAGGCTAAGTTCTGTCGACATGAAGTACCATATTTGGAAGCTTGGAGTTGTTTTTACTGACAATGTAAGTATCGCATCTGGAGAAACAAGATTTCTATAGCCAAGAATCGGAGGTTCTCTCTGATGCCAACAATAAGCTAAGGAGAGTCCCAGAACAATTCAGGGAGTACCTTTTGGAGACACAGGCACCACAAGACTTCTGTCTTGTAAAAGGCAGGCAGGGTTTTACTGGGCAATTCTCAGGCTCGCTCATAGCACCTAAATCCCTGTTATCCTTACTGTCTGTCCCAAAAGTTGAGAACAAAGAGTTTAATGGATACATCACAAGGCATAAAAGGGGAGGGGAAAAAAAAACCAACAGCTAAATTCCTTATTTTTCCACAGTCCTTTCTCTACCTTGCCTGGTATACAACCATGTCCTTCCTGGGCCACTACAACAACTTTTTCTTTGCGGCTCATCTGCTGGATATTGCAATGGGTTTTAAGACATTGAGAACCATCCTGTCTTCTGTGACTCACAATGGCAAACAGGTACCGACTTTATGGGGACGTGCATTTCTTGACCAACCAAACACTTGGGTTAAGCTTGAGTAATTTTGAAAAACTGCAGCCATCCCCAGCAAGGTAGGTATACAAGAACCTTGATTCAGAAAGCCTTCACATAGCAGTCGTTCTCAACCCGGGAGGGGGTGGATGGATTGGGAGGGGGTGCACAGGAAGACTGGTCACACTCATGGCGGAGCCCCCTGTAAAGTCTGCCTCTTCCTCCAGTGGACCTACAGCTATGGCTCCGGGCCCGGCAGGGTCCCTCCCTGGATTACGATTGCCACCTCCAACTTCAAACTTGTTAGCATTTCATTCCTCATGTGCACGAATGAGGTTTGCTCCCTTCACACCTCTAGGCCTCTGGGTAGGAGGGGGGGTGAAGAAGTTAAAATGTGCCAGGTTGTCCCATTACGGCCTCAAGCAACCCTATGAGGTAGTTGTTAGGCTTGGGGTACAGAGCTGAAGCAGGCTCAGCGAGGCAGTGTCTCCCCCAAGACTGCCCAGTGGCAGGGCTTGGGTTCTAGCCGGTTTCAAACTGGCACAGGCTATGAAACCAAAGGTTGGTGATTCGAACCCCCCAGGAGAGAAAGACAAAGCTGCCTGGCAAGATTTACAGTTTCTGACTCAAATGACCCCTGCAAATGTCCTAAGCAGATTTCTTGAATCTAAAGGATTCCAGACCCATGGTTATTTATCAAATAGTGTAACACAAGGGGACCTACCAGGACGAAGATCCTCTAGTTCATGCCAACATTCTAGTATCTTCTAATTCCGACTTTTTCCGTGCACTTCTTGAAGCCCTATAATCCTTAATTACCCTTGAGGTTAACATGGACCCGTTAGGCTTCCCCTTACTAGGCTGTTTCGGCTCATCTACTCCCGTGTTGTTCCCTTGGGTCTCACGGGCACCTCTCTCTCTCTCCACGACCCCACCCCCACCCGTTCCAGTTGGTCCTGACTGTAGGCCTCCTGGCTGTGGTGGTTTACCTCTATACTGTGGTGGCTTTCAACTTCTTCCGGAAGTTCTACAACAAAGGTGACGACGACGACGAGCCCGACATGAAGTGTGACGACATGATGACGGTGAGGACGGCACTCGGGGAGCGGGGACGTCCGCGTCACTTACCGTCTATACCCGTGGGTCAGCCCAGTGTCTCAGCACGTTTCTAATGCTGTTGGTGGTAAAATTAGATGTCTCAGCTGATACTCGAGTCTATTCGGTAAACCCGCCTGGGAGATGAGGTTTCTGTGGGAACCTCACCATCGGCTGAAGCACCCACCGCAGCATGGGCGGGTTGGTCTTGGCTTCAGGGTGGGACCCAGCATCCATACTTCTGGAGAACAACGTGTGTGTGTCAAGGGCAGCGACCCTGCCCTTTGTTCATTTCCCTATAAAATGGGTACCACTTTTTAGCTCTAAGTTCTTATGCTTTCTTGAGGCAAGCATCCTCAGGATAGCAGCCCATCACTGAAGCAGCGGTGTGATCCCTACACATCTTCACCCTGCCCTTTGGGATTTTCACCCCTCTGAATTCAACAGTCAGGTGGAGGGGATAGCGAAAGGATTGTTTGAGGGCAAGTTACCCATCCATTATATTGTATGTGTATAGATAGCTATAAATGGCTCAGGCATCCTGAGGTTAAGGAAAGCCTATTACACTATTTTCGGCCCAATACAGTAGTCTTGATCGAATAATGGTACCCCTGTGTGTGCAGAATAGACCAGCCCCATAGGGCTTCAATGCTAATGACCTTACAGATCCCGTAGCCTGTCTTCAACCAATCACCTTTCAGCTAATAGCTGAGCATTTAACTGCTTAGATGACCCGGGTATACTAGGAGAAGGGGCTTTTCTCTGTAGGCCTGCCCAGAGGAGCCTCACTGGGCTATGAAGTACAAGGTAACAGTTGAAACCACCACCCACTGTGGGAGAAAGATGAGGCTTCCTGCTCTAATATAGATTCACAGTCTCAGAAACCCAGGGGCAGCTCTACTCTGTCCTACAGGGTCACTGTGATGGGCTGGGGGCTTGTGTGTTTGGTAGCCTTGCCTGAAGCTTCCACTTCTAAACTTAGCCACACTCCCTGCATTGAGCTGATTCCAACGTGTGTCTAATGTACTGTTCAAAACTTTTGTAAAAGGGAAAGCAAGATACTAATCCTTAAAGTCAAAATGTAACACAGTCTTGATGTTATCTTTGAAGAGTATCCTCCTGTACTGGATCCGCCATGATATTAGATCAAAGTATGACAAGTGAGAAACCACCTTGCTAAAAACCAACCTCTGCTATCTTTACCTGAATTGCCATTATTTTGTCTCTAGTGTTACCTGTTCCATATGTATGTGGGAGTGAGAGCCGGGGGTGGCATTGGTGATGAAATCGAAGATCCTGCTGGTGACCCTTATGAAATTTATCGTATTGTCTTTGACATTACCTTCTTCTTCTTCGTCATTGTCATCTTGTTGGCCATCATTCAAGGTACGGTTATCAATTAAGAACTTCGGGAATCAGTTTACTTGTTAACTGAGCAAACATTAAGAATTTACTAAAATACAAGGACTTAGCTGTATCTGCAATCTCTTCCCAGCATTTGAGGTGGGGAGGATGGCACCTGATAATGGTGAATTTAGTTTGTTGAGCTACTTGTAAGACATCTAGGTATAGACGTCTAAGCCTCTTAAACTGGAACAAACTGACCAGACCGAGGTTCATCTGTGTGGTGGTGAGATCAGAAGAAGTTATAAAGGAATATAGGCAAAGAGAATTTTGAGGAAGAGTAGTTGACAGCAGAGAAGTACAGGATGCAACATTATTTACGGTGCTTTGTCTGTTGTTATTAAAATCCTAGGTCTCATTATCGATGCTTTTGGAGAGCTAAGAGACCAGCAGGAACAAGTACGAGAAGATATGGAGGTACTGGCTTTTACGAGCAAAGCTTGTCCTCAGTGCCCACTGGCCAAGTTCTGTGTTTTTCTTCTGCTCTGCATCTGACACCACCGTTTGGTGCTTGAGGGTGAAATGAGCAAGAGCATTAAAAAGACTATTTTTCTCTGTTTCTCCTTTCAAAGACCTTGACCCCCTTTCCCACTTGCCTACTAATGCCCTTGCTGCTTTTGTTATTTTTTAATAGACTAAATGTTTCATCTGTGGAATTGGCAATGACTACTTTGACACAACGCCTCATGGTTTTGAGACACATACATTACAAGAGCACAACTTAGCCAACTACTTGTGAGTATCTGGTTAATAATTTAAGCAATTATGTATTATTACTTGCTTCTACTTTTTCAGCAGAAACATGCATTTATTATAGATTGTGTTTGCTCTTATGGAGCCCTAGTGGGTAAGCATGAGGCCGCTCACCTCAAGATCAGCAGTTCAAACCCACCAGGTTTAAGGATGAAGCTAGCTATGCCTGAGAGTCTGGGGAACCCTATGTAGGCTCATTATGAGCTGAACTCGGCGGCAGCGGGTTTGCTAGGAGCAAGTACCAACAAAGACCTATCCTCTCCACAGATACTGGATTTTCCATTCAAGGACTGGAGAGAGAGTGAGGCCCTCCCCGTGACAACGGTCCCTGCTCCATTAACACAAGATTTGGCCTGGTCAGGCTTGCCAGGTGACTTCCATGGTCCTGATTGCAGTGGTCAGCATTTAGCTCTTGGAAGTTAATATGCACTTCTTGTGCAAATTTTAATTTACAGAATATTCCATCATCAGGCTCTGGGGTTCAGCCCTTTCTACCTCTACATGTTATTGGACAGAAAATCCAAGTCTGTTTTTGAAAAAGTGGTTATTGTCAAAATACAGGGTTTAAAAAAAATTTTTTTTTTTGACTTAATGGAAGTGAGTCTATGGTTCTTCTATTTAGTAGTACTAGATCCAAAAAACGACAGTCGAGTTGGCACTGACTCACAGCAACCGTATTGGACCAGGCGGGGCTGCCCTTGGGAGTAGAAAGCCCCATCTTCCTCCCCAGGAACAGCGGTGGTTTCAAACAGCTGACCTGATCGTTAGCAGTCCAACACGTAATGACTTCGCCACCACAGTTCCTCAGTACTAGACAGAAGAAAAAAGATGGTACCTGAGTCGGGACCCCCTTCCATGGCTGCCCCCACACACACACTGATCACATTCTCCATACCCATCTTAGTCGTGTTTGAACCGCCCACCTACAATGGGACGTCAATAACATGTTCTGAATGATGGCCAACAAAAGAGACTGACCACACCTTCTTAATCTGCAGGGAAATTAACCTAGCGAGAGTTTCTAGGGACAATCAGGACCTGAAGCTATGAAGTGTAAGAGGTGAAGGGTATTCGAAAGATGGGGCTCAGGTGCTCTCTCCGCCCTCAGGGGAGTGCTATTTCTTCTCTCCTCCTTCACCATCCTCAAGCCTGAGAAGAGTGCCATTCTGTGAAGTCACAGAACGTGACCTTTCCTGTGCAGCCGCGGGAGTCTTGTGTCACCATCAATCACAGCTAAATCGAGTGAAAGCACACAGGCGTTTCCTAGTTGTCTACAGAACTGTCTTTCTAGAGTAATCAGACCATCCAGCGAGATCAAATACCTACTCATTTCAATGTTATAGTAAGCCTGCTACATTTATCATTTGCTAAGAGTCTTCTTGCGTGCATATGATCGTATAATCAAGGTCAATTTGAGATTAATAACGTGTATTCTATACGAGGGGGGTACCCCCCAAAAAACCAACTCCCCCCTTAAAGCATTTGTCAAATATGTGATTCCATTCCTGGAAACATTTTTCAAACTTACCTATTTGAATGGCTGACAGTACCTCCTTGTTTTCTTCACTTCTAAATTGTCAAATCGCTGTCTTTTCGTGTCCCTCTTCACTTGAGAAGCAAGCTCAGGTGAATCGGGTTTGTGGGACATGAGAGACATGCTGTTTGGGGGCAAAAACTGGTGTAATGAGATGGTTGGGTGTGCAGGTCCATTGTCATGATGGTAAAACCAGTTCCCCGTCTGCCACAAATGAGGCCTTTTTTTGTCACACACTGTTAATGCAATCTTTTCAGAACCATTAAATAGAAAGCTTGATTAACAGTCTGCCCTGGTGGAATGAACTCCAAATGTACTCACTACAGGTCAACATTTCCGTCAGTTCAGGAAGCTGACAGAAAAAGGTTTGTCATCAATCAACGTTTCACCAAACCACATCACAACAGTTTCTGCAGCATTTTTCCCAAGCAGGAAACGAAATTTCACAGCTGCACAGTTCCCTTAAATCAGCCATCACACACACACAAAATGAGGTTCAAGCGAAACTGCTTTTACAAAAGAAATTCACTGTGACCAGAGAGAATCTTCCCAGGTGACGCCTCTGGGTGCACTAACTCAGCGTGAGGTGCTGGATGTGATGCTCGTCTCGCAGGAAAAACGTGTACTAAGAAAGCTCTGCTCTGCCCAGTGCAAGTCCAGGTTTTTTGGTGTACCCCCTTGTATAGTATGCCTGATTAACACTGCCTTTTTCTCATACCTTGTATCCTTGTTGCAGGTTCTTTTTGATGTATTTGATTAATAAAGATGAAACGGAGCACACTGGTCAGGTGAGAAATAAAACACACTCCTTCCCTTATATAAAGACTGAGACTTGAGAGGGCATTCTCTTCTATGCACTTTCCCAGGGCACCCAAAAGTCATCCCGCTCTGTCCTTCTCGACATTTTCTATGCCCGTATGGTTCCTGCCTCCGAGCACAGTAGTTGGAGGTGGGCAGAACATCATAGAGAAGAATCGAGAGAACAAAGGAGGAAATTGCTGGTTATCCAGACACAAGTCCTACTAGCGTGTCTGCTCACGCCAGCCCCACACTATGCATTCTTAAGTATTTTTAGTTACAAGTATTGATCGATTCCATTTGGGGTGGAATTCTTCTCCACTGGCCTGGGGGTGGGGGGAGCAACTGCCATCCTTGCCCCTTTGGACAATATGCACAGCAATATTCCTACAGACAGATGCAGGCAAAAATAAACAAACTGGACCTGCTTAACTGGAGTACCCTGTGTTCACCTGATTTCAGGAATCGTATGTCTGGAAGATGTACCAAGAAAGGTGTTGGGACTTCTTCCCAGCTGGTGACTGCTTTCGTAAACAGTACGAAGATCAGCTGGGATAAATCTCAACCACAGAAGCTCCACGATTGGGGGATGGTCAGCTTCCAGAGAATAAAATCCTCCTCTTACACTTCTGCAACATATTTGAAATGTGATGTTTTCTAAATGCCTTTACAAGAAAGTATTTGTTTAAAAAAATCGGTGATATTTTTGAAATCGGTTTGGGTTTTTCGTGCCTATGGGAGATGACCTGTCAATGGCAAGTCAAGGGATGTTTTGCTGGATGCCTTCAAGTTTTTCTGTTCTGATGTATAACGTGTTGGTTAAGATGAGGGCATTGAAGGAAGGATAACGTTTTAATGCCTAATACCTAAATTTTTAAACACTTGAATGTCATATGACAGTGTCCCACTAGTGACTCATGACCTGAACTACAGAAAAACAATTTTCTAAATTTCTCATGGTACTTGCTAAGTGAATGTATTCAGAATCAGCTTAAAAACTAAGCAGTTAAATAGAGGAAAAAAAACCTACACTTTGTCGACACTGAAATATCGATTAAGTGCCTTAAAATCTCTTTAGACATAGCTATGCAAGTTTTTTATGTTTGTGTTCTAGGTGGACAGTTCCATTAATTAGTTGTGATCTTACTTTATGAAACTGCACTTGAAGGTTACTTTTTTTTTTTTTTTAAGTAACAGCTTGTCAACTGCTGTTATTAGAAGATAAGTACTGTACTGAAAAATTCTAACGCCAAAATCGAGTAATGCTTTCATGGTCCCTTGTAAGTAGTGAAGCTGCTACGTTTAAGTGAACCTCCTCAAATAAAAATAAAGTGCCCATTGCAATAAAGTAATACACACCAATACTTGATTTGGCTTCTTCTAATGCACCACTTCTGGGGGACACAGGTCAGTGCTGAGCCCTGCTTACAAAACAAAACAAAAATCCAACCACAAACCAACATTTTACTGTGCCTTGTTCTTTGCATGTATTCTCTTAAGCAGCATCTCCTGCCCTTAAGAAAATTCCTTCAGTTTCTAAACCAGGAAATAAGCCTCTTAGATGTATTAACATGTCGTCAAACCCAGAGGCAGCCACTTACTGCCTGTTACAACAACCAGGCTCCGGGCATGCTTGTCAAGGAGGCGGTGCTGTGGCACGGCCTTGCTCCCATGCTACTTGCAAGGCAGCCAATTGGGGCTTTCAGGCAATCATGCTGTCCAGCCAGTCCTCGAGCTCTTCCTCGGTGACGCTGGTCGAAGATGCGCTTGGTTGCTCTGAGCCCACATTCTGCTCTTCAATTGCGGATAGTTTCGCAGGAACTGGGGAAATAAAAGTAATGTTTAACAGCCTCATATCAGTCCCAAGATTTGAGGTTTAAAGCTTCCCCGGGGTCAGCGCCATAATATAATTCAGCCCTAGTTATTACGTCCCTTACAACAAAGGGGAAGGATTCTCATTATTGCTCCTGCTCCCTGAGAAGATATAGCAATGTCTACACAAATTAATAAACGGGGTGGAGATTTTATTCTTCTATGTGTTCTACAGTTGAATTTCATGGTTTACTAGTTCGGGGTTTTTGTTTCGTTTTTTCAAGATCAAGGACTCAGTTTTTAGCTCTCCTGGCCAAAAAAAGATTTCAGGAAGCAGCCGTAGGCGTCTCTGACCACCCCATCCCAAAACGTACGCAAGTTAGATCGATAGGGAAACAAAAACAAACGAGGCCGAGTTGGTTGACAGGCCCTGCACAGTCGATTAAAAGGTCTGCTGAAAAGGCTGGGGGGCTACAAGTATCTTAATGCACTGTTCTGAGCAGAGGTATACTGCAAATCAGACCCGCTGCCGCTCTGGAAGCTCAGCATAGCGAGTGAGAGGAAAGGTCAGCTCAGGGGGAAGCGGAGCGGGGAGCCCAGAAATAGATGTCAGTGGACAGCGCCCGATCGATGTCAGACACCAACAGAGACGCGGGCAGATCGGCGGGGCCATTCTCACCAAACACCTGGAGAAGGAGGACGGGGACTGAAATGACAGCTCTACCTTCCTCCTCCTGGGCCACTGTGGCGTCTCGCTCCGGTTTCAGGTCCTGAGATGTCTGATCTGGTAGCATGTCGTCATCTCCTCCTCTGGCGGGCGCATCTAAATTAAGCAGCAGGTCAAGTTCTTCTTCTAGGAGGTCGGCTGGCTGCGGTGCAGAGGCCGCGAGAGGCCCTGGTCTGGAGCCCTCTCTCCCCAGAGACACACAGGGGCTGGCAGGAACTTTCCGCTCGGAGCCAGACCCCCTCCCTCCAGACCCCAGGGTCCCCCTCGACGGCACCCCGAGTCCTTGGCCATCATGGTTTCTCTTTGGTTTCACCTGAGGAAGCTCTAAAGGCACCGTGGCCTGAAAGAGAAACAGAATCACCAAGACAACACTGTGAATCTTGCCACATATGCCGAAGTACAAGCCACAACACGTACAAGGCTAACAAGGCCATCATAACAGCAACGCTCGGACAGTAAAGTTCGCTGCCCGCAGCTCCTGCCCCGACCCTGGCACCCCTCCCATGAATTTGAGGTAAATGTGGGAGACCTCACTGAAAGATCTACCTTTCTACCCACCTCAGTGGTCTGTTACCTATCTCACAGCTGCGAGAAAGGGGCCCTGTCTTTTCCACCGCGGGGCCTCAAAACTGGCGATTCCCTGGCTCTGCTGGAGTTTATACTTAAACCTAGAATGCAGCTTAAAAGCCGATACCAGTCACCAAGAGGTAACTAGCAAATCAGATCTGTTCAAATGCACTTAAAATGCTCTGATGGGGAGGGGAAGGGCAAACGCACTGAGCAGAAAATGTTCTCGCACACACCACTCCCATCCCACCCCCCCAGACTCAAAGAAAACATGATTCCGCATATGTTTGTAACAAGTTCCCAAACCAGCAAAAAACAAAACTGTAAAAGTCTGGACAGCGGCTGCCCTTGGGGGAGGCAAGACCTAGAACAGTCTGCCAACACTGCCCAGGCCTTGCTCGGTGTTCTGATGCTTCATGTCCTGATGCCAATTCCACGTCTCAAAGGAGGACTAATTGGTGCCCATTTCTTCGTCGTTCCGTCAAAGTTGAAAATCCCCCCGCAGCTACGGCTGAGAGGCGCTGCTCCAGAGGGAAGCCTGCGGAGAGCAGCAAGCCCATTGGCCTGGCCTTTCTCCGTGGTTTCTCTGGAGCACAAACGCCATGTCCAGATCTTGCCCTTCCTGCCATTGTTGGCCCAACCACGAAAAACCTAGGGAGGCTTCTTTGATCTCCACTTTTCCTCAGTTTCTGAGGGACACCGAGTGCCATTAGTTCGACCTTCAATAAAATGCCACTCGGCATGCAGCTCCACTGGCGTGCCTCTAGTCCCTGCCCCAGTGTGTACACCCCCCCTGGACCCATGCAGTAACCTAATTTGCCTTCCCTCCTCTACGCCGGCCTGTGCATACCTGTCTATATGCACACCCCCCTGAATGTTCTTTATGATGATCGTCCCCAACATGAGGATGACCAATGCACAGCTCCTGGGGCCCCTTTCCTTTACATTTCAGCTCAGATGGTCTCCACGCTTTGGATCTTCCTTGATCTGCCCCTTCCCTCAGGAAAGCCACTGCTCACCACACCAGAGAAGACCCGGTTCACCCATGAAGGCCTCCCCCAGGACCCTGCCCAGCTCCTTGGTAGTGGCAGTCCCGCGTGCACCGTGGGGGGGGTTGGGTTAGTGGACCACCATCCACTTTTCCCAAGAGCTGCAGCTCTCGGGTTGGCGAGCTCCACGTTTGCCCAGCCATGTCCAACACAGAACCGGGCACATAAATGTTTTGAGTAAACTGGGAGCCAGGTTTTATACTTTGACGTTTCTTTCACTCAATTCCATTCCATTTGATCTTTTGAAAAGTCCTTCAGATAAAATTAGTGCAAAAAATATTGCAAAATGATTTCATTCCCTGAATGAAATATACAGACCCCTCAGTTTGAAGGAAGGGAATCCTGAGTGCACCATCCTGTGGAGGAACGCCTCTCAGTCTCCTGCCAACGCCCCCCCCC